ATGTAATATGTATAAATATATGTACAAGTAAATTCATTTGTATTGGAGTAGAGTTAAGGGAAATGCAAATAATTATTTTTTGCATGTGATGAACAAGCATGAATATTTAATCAGGGACAGATTTAGGCTTTAAGAGGGCCCTGGTTTAATAGAATTTGGGGGCCTCTTTATTATGTATGTTCATGCTCCACTCCACATATCTATAAATAAAGATTTTTAGATGAAAGATAAAAAATCTATATGTATATAAAAAAGATACATCAAAATCTAAATGGGGCCCCTTCATGGGGCTCTACTGAATTTAAAAGACCCACTCCAACTAGAGGGGCCCAAATACTCTAAATTGTTTCAAATTAGTTTAAAGGAACCACATTAAATCTGAAAATAAAAAAAATCTCCTCTGTTCTTTATTTTTTTTTTTTTTTAGTTTTATCAGGGGCCCAATACTCTTGAGGTTCTTGGATTGCAGCCTATACTAGCCCATACGTAAATCTAGCACTGTATCTAATGTTCGTTAAAAAGAAAAAACAAAGTTAAAAACACATGATAACCAAGAAAAGGAAACAAAATACATGCAGTAATTTGAAATTTGCAAAGAAAAGGCAGGCAAAAAAGATCAAGTAGAAAATGGATAAAAAAAAAATCTATTTCTTTGGAAAACAATTACTATCTTTGCATGTTAAACTCCATTTAACTCTTCAAATCAGTACCACCTAAAGCCATGTTTTTCTACAGAAAATCTATTCTAAAACTTGTAAATATTAATTTTGTTTAACCCTTATTTTTAACTATTTACTCCTTTCATCTCAGTTACTTTCCATTACATTTACTCAGACTTTCATTCTACAACCATTAGTAAATAACAGACTGGAGAGAATCAGGTTTTGGCAAGAATGAGAAAGTCTTGTAACTCAATTGAGAGAGCAACTGTAATGGGAAGACAGGTTTTGTCTTTAATCAAGAATATGCATGTCATATAGCCTAACCATACTTCTTTTTCATTTCTCTCTGCCATACATAGCACTGTATCTAATGTTTTCTGTCTGATTTTCTGTTTTACTTGGGTGTCCCATCCCAGGTTTTCCACAGAAAAAGGGATGCAGGTTCAATTTTTGATGCAAACTTATTATTTACTTCCAATTTGTGCTATTTACTGAAAGCTATAGAAAGACAGTAATTGCAATGAAAAACAATACTAGTTAAAAATTAATAATAGTTAACAATATTTGATCTAAAAAAAAAAAAGAAAAAAAAAAGTAATATTAATTTTGATTGCTGTAATGTTTATCAGAAATTCATTAATAATGTAGGATTTCTGAAACACTTCTAATAGATGATTACATAAAGTTTAAATTTAACTCAAAACACATGTGCTACTAATTCTATACACCAAATAGGTTTTCTTTTTAACATTGAAAATATGAATTTTGCACATTAAAAAACTAACCATTATTGACAGAAATGAATTTACTGTGAATATTGTTAAAACAATTTTATTCTTAATTCTATTCAGAGACATTATTTAATTTTCACTGAATAAAAAGATAAAAGGCACAGTTATTAAAAAGAGGAAATGAAGTGACTAAATTCTGTCACCAGTATATTTACAAATCAAATTGTTTTCTTTTAAGGAAGGGCAAAAATTAAATTCACCCAGCAAAATGCAAACAACTTGTAACAGAATTAATGTGCAGTTAATAATGAGAGAAAAAAATTATAAGCAGTAACTTTTTCTAATATGTACAATTTTTTTTTAAAAAAAATGTTATAATCTTATTAAAACTGATATTATATTTTTTTTGTTTTCTTTTTCTTAACAGTAAGGTGCCCCTTTTAAAAGGCCTAGTGGCCACTCAAGGTAGAGAGTTATGTTAGGAAGCAATTTGTGCAGATAGGAAGGGAAGATAATGGTTTACCCCAGATAGGAACAGGTTAAGATTGTAGTGATCGGGGAAACATGGTCTTGGGAGTAGGTTCCACAGACCAGTTGTTTAGGAGAAGAAGCTGTTTGAGTAGAACTTACTTCTTATTGATGGAATACAGAGGGAACTTACTTCTTACCGATGGAATACAGAGGGAACTTACTTCTTACCGATGGAATACAGTGGGAACTTACTTCTTACCGATGGAATACAGTGGGAACTTACTTCTTACCGATGGAATACAGAGTTTGCTATTATTTAAGTGGCATGGTGGGTCCTTGCTGTGAAGGTTTGAAATGGCAGGACCAGCGGCCATAATTTGTCTGAGTACTTTCTGTGCAAGTAGCAACAGAGTAGCAAGAGATTTGCTATAACTGCCTGTGAAAGAGAGGTTAGAGGGTTGAGAATAATTTGTCACCCACGTGGGCTCAGAGACGTTTTGGACTCTGTCAAGCCTGGAGAGTGAGGTCTGGGCAGCTCCTGCCCACATATGACAACAGTACTCCACTTGGAAATGCAGGTAATGGACTAAAGAGTAACATTTTATGATGCACAATTGTCATTGAATATTATTTACTCATTACAAGTTATTTCTGAGGAGTCAAGTTTTAAATCTTGACACGGTTATTTAAAAAAATATATCCAATTTCTCAAGTACTACACATTAATTACAACAATTTTAAAGAACTAATATCAATTCCTCAATAGAAAAAAAAATCAACTAGTCTAGAAAACTGGTTTTATAAAAAAAAACCTATATTTTTATCTTGAAATTAAAAGAATTTTTTAAAATCAAATTAATAGTTAAAAAATGATTATTTTTAATGCTTTAATATTCTTGATGCTAAGTTAAAATCTCTAAAAATATCATTATTATTTTCAAATCTGTAGAAAATACATATTAAATTTTTATAACCAAATTTTATATAATCAATAGCAAAAAGTAAAAATAAAAACTATTATGCTTTCTAACAAAGAAAATTATAGAGAAATTACATCAATTTTATGCTGTCTGGAATAATTATGCTTATATATGAAAACAAACAACTTTCTAGTTACTTTCCAAACTGCCTGGGGTTTTTATACTTTCTCTAATTTTTTAAACAAATATTTAACATTACTGTTGTTTTAAAGAGTTTAAAAACATTAACATGATGTGGTTTCCTACAATTTGTCTGCAACTTAATTCTATAAAACTTAAACCGTTTTGAAATTTTTGTAGGTTTTCTAAGATCATCTTGATTTTCATTTAGAAACAAATATAAAATATCACTTATTTAAATCCTGTTAAGCTATTCTAGTTTTTTCTTTTCCCTGTATTTCTCAATTCTAAGCCCCACTGTTGATTCCAATCTAGTTGGAATGACTGCAAAAACATCCGCCTCCCCAAATCTATAGACAAATCATACAGATGCATGATGGGATTTCTTCCTAGCTAATAAAATAGGCCACTTTTCGGTCTCATCCGCCATATTCTAGTAGTTTTGTCTTTAAGTCAGAGTGCTGTAATCACTTGTCTGTATCTCTTGTGTGTTAGTACCATTTTTACTTTGTGAACTTTTTACTTTATTATAGTTGCTTTACCTACTTTTGTCTTATATATATATATATATATGTTGCCTGCTTAGTATTATCTTTATCCTGTTGTTTTCTTTCCTTCCTTATTGATTATTGAAAACTGTCAATTCTGTTTGTTGGGTTTTTCTGCCAATTACATTTAACCATGGCCAATTACTCTACACCTATTATTTTTCTATCCATTTTATTTTTCTACTCATATCAAAGTTTTACAGAACTGATCTTGCAATACTTGAGAAAGCATCTAGCTTGTAAATATTGATTTTCTTTTTGCAAGATTAAAGCATCTGATCAGTTTGTTCTTTTATATCAAATAATCTTCAATAATAATTCCAAGATACTGAGAAAACTATTGATATATCATCAAGCATATGTAGCACTAAATATTGAATGTCTTATTTGTAAGATTCACAAATTGTTGAGCAAAATCTTTATATCTTTACCCACATCACAGAAGACATTTTAATTGTTATTGATCACATGAATTAATGCTGAAGTTTTAAAAAATATATATATCCAGAATATGAGATTAGATTTTTCTTGAAAAAGGACTAAAATGTAATTCCCGCTCTTGTTTAACATTGCCTCTTTGAGGTCAATTACAAAATCTAACTTCAAACAGCAAGTTTGACATATAAAATTTTTTTTATTAGTTGATATTATAAAATAATTAAAAATAATAATTAAAAAGTGTAAGTAAATAATTATTAAATAGTCTAGGTTTCTCTTATAAACTTACTTTTGGGAGAAGTGTATTAATAGAAAGTTAGACAGTTTGTAAAAAATTGTGAGACTTATGTGTAAAAGTATCTTTGTTTAGAACTGGCTTTAAAAAGGACCACCAGTTAAAACCAAATAGTTAAATAATAGTTGTAGTTAAAACCAAAATGAGAACTATGAAAGATATTTAAATAATTGTAATACATTTTAAAATTTTATTTAAAAAAGTTAATTTCTGATATTTTTGGCATTTATCTATAAGCAACATATCAATTATTCTAATTTTTATTTTATTTATTGACTTTTGACGCACTAACTGCCAGATGTCAGTTACAAAATCTGACTTCAAGCACCAATTTTATAATAACCAACTTAAGCAATAATTTTTTTATGAGTTGATTTATAGCTTCAACTGAAGTCTTAACATTGTTTTCACACTAAAAGTATCACTGTGAATAAACTCATTGACTCCTGCAAATGAAAATGTATCAGAAAATGCCAAACAGGAGATGACTCATAGTACTATAATAAAAAACTGCTGACCACAAGTTATCTCATGGTTGGTAGCCAATGTGTTAACAAGAAATACTAATAATATAAAAGTGTAAGAAAATTTAGTTAAAAAAATTAAGGTATTGAAAGTGAATAATAATAATGGAAAAAAGATGAAAGTGTAGGTTTTCCCCAGAAAATGGAGACAGCGTGTGAATAGAAAAAAAGAAAAAGGACATGCAAATAAGAAAAAGAAAAGAAACCAATCAAAATGAAGCGAGCATCTACCTGTGTGTGCACCTCAATAAAAGGTATGGAGGGTGACTGTGCAGGGCTGGCCATGGACGGGTCATTCAACTAGAAAAGTAAGGGCACATTTAATACCAGATTCAACACATGCTTTGCCTTCATGGTGAACAGATAATTCAGATTTTATTGTTGGTGTCCAAATCATTTAAACATTTTTCCCTATAGTGGGTAATTGAATGACAAAATGGAAAATATAGTTTTTTTCAATTTTGTCATTCAGTTACATGTCATTCATCTGATATACAGAGTTCATATATAAATATAAATTCTGATTTAAATTGAGATTAGGATCTGATAAAATGGTAAACTTATAAGACATTTGAAAACTTCTTATTTTGACAGGTTTTGTTGATCAGTAGCATCATCAGAAAAACAAACTTGTTTGAAATGTTTTTTTTCTAACATTCACTGATTAATGAAATATATTATAATAAAAGTTTTCCAATTTGTTTTATATATTTACCATGTCACATCCTCACATTTTTCAAATTTTCCCATTTTTCACTCAAAAAGAAAAAATATGAATGATTTTCACAAAAATTGGCAAAATCTAATGTAGACAGAATTATTGGCAAACTTGGACCTTCATATCCACAAAAAAAAGCTGTCAAAAGGATGGTTTTTCTATTGACACTACTATTATTTTAACTACCTTCACACATCAGCAATGTTTATTTAAAAAAAAGAAAAAAAAAAACAATGATTAAAATTGTAATAAAACTTAAAGATATGAAAGTGAATTTTTACATTTTCTTTGTTCTTGAGAACTGACAAAAATAATAATCACTATTAGATTGTTTATTGGAATGGTTGGCAAAACATTGGCTAATTGTCAATTAATTTAAACTTTATAAAATGGTAAATAATAAGGATTTCCTTATAGTTGTTTCACATATCTGAATAATTTAGTAAATATTTATGAACAAAAAATTGTTTTCATATTTATTTCTTTATAAATTGGTAAATGATAAATATTGCATTGCATTAGTTTTAATACAATTGTATTAGTTTTTAGAATATTGTAAATATAAAATTATTCTTGTAAACAAACAATCTAATAAATAGTTTTTAATATTTTTGCTGTAAATTCTCAAGAACAAAAAAAAACATGTATAAATCCACTTTCATCATATGTTTAGGCTTTATTATAATTTTAATCATCGCTTTTAAAACAGTAAACATTGCCAAGGAGTAAAGATAGTTAAAATAATAGTGTTGTCAAGGGGAAAACCATTTTTTGACACTTTTTTTGTGGGCACGAGTGTCCAAATTTGCCAAATTACTTATATTGTACCAACTCCTGAAATGTTAATGGTAATATTAGCCGTTTCCATATAAGGAAACAGTATTTCTGATGAAATCAAAAAAAATCAATTACAGACAAAAAAATTGTTATTAACCCATTGTATATTTTCTAATCTCAAATTAATTGAGTTATGTTTTTAATTACAAACTGTATAACCATAAAAATGAATGAAGCATTCCAATTGATTTTGTGTCTTCAGATTTTCACATACACTAAGTTTAGTGGGAGGTTTGTAGAGAAATCAGTTTGCTGTTTTATTATTAGCAACAAGATCAAGGGAAATAACTTTATAACCAATAAGAATAAATACACTTAAAATTTCTGGTCAAAGTAGTAACACTCAAGTAACTATAAATTTCTTTAAGCTCAAGTTGGTTCTTTGAAACATGCAAACACAAGCGAAGGAATATAATTTTTGCCTATACTCTATGAATTAGAAGGAGGTGTAGTTAACAGTCTGGTGAATGCAATCAGTGTATACAGTTCAAACTCTGGATAGTACAGTTTACTCTACACTAATGCACTTGGTAAAGACATAAATCCTTTCCATTGACTGATCTATTAGTGAATATCAATGATGGATTGCCTTTACTAAAGGACTATAATATACTCAGTGTTAGAAATTGTTCCTTATTGCCAATACCATGTAAGGCATTACAACTTGTTATATATCACTTAGAGAGAAGGTCAGCACTGACAAGTAACTTCCATTGCTCTGAAAGATGCCATAAAAGGGAATTACTATGATATCCCAATGATCTCATAAGTTATAGGAAACATTTGTTTGCCCATACAAAATAGACAGTATTAATGAATATCGTTTGGGTAATTTGCAAGTGTCATAATTTACCAAATTTCTACAATAAACTAATTAATGGTATGCAAACAAATTTTTTTTGTTGCTTTATACAAAAAAGTTTGAACTCATTACATTCACTTATGTGCTAATACTTTTGAGAAAAGCATGAATCCATCTCTCCTCACCACCATCTATGGGTAAAATAGCAGGATAGACTGGGTACTACATAGCCTTGGATGGCAACCAGCCTAGGAGATGGAAACTCTAAATTCAAACCAACTGCTGTCTTATAGGTCCTACCTCTTCAAAAACAAATCTACCCCTGAGAGGAGGGATGAGGTAACTTCAACATTCCCAGTGCAAAAGAAACTTGTAAGCCTTGAATGGACCACAATTGTGAGATAAAGGGGATTGGTGACCACAGCAACACAAAATGCACTAACTGAATAAAATGAATGAATATACAAAAACAGCTGAATTCTTTTCAATATCTTGCACTGGAAGAAAGCACTCAAACTCACCTGAGATAAAAAATATCCTTAATAGGAAATATTTTACATTTTTTCAGCAAACTTTTGCTACAGAAAAAGTCATTCAAAATTTACAATAGAAATATTTATTAAGCCAAATACAATGAATCTATAGAGAGATCAATATGATTTCATTGTAATTTTTTTTTACCATGCTTCAAATTCTAAGTAATTTTTAAAAATAATCTGACAAGTTTATCATTTTCAACTATGCTAATATAAAAAAAATCATATTTTCTGTAATGTAAAAAATAAAGAAAATTTGGTAAAATATATCAAATGTAAAACACAAAATTTGGTCTAATATATCAATAGTGTAAAACACAAAATATGATACAATAATATATTTTGATAAACTTATGTTAATTTCTAGTTTTGTGAAAGTTTCCAATTTATCCATTAAAAGCTTCCAATATAAATTTTAATTAAAATTTATAATGCATTTTTTGAGAGAATTACAATTATATACATAAAGAAAATTGTGTGTAGCTTTATACAAATACACATTTACATATGCACCCATATATACAAACATCATTAAGATCCATGTTAGTATATCAGGTATCTCTTATATTTTGTTGTATGTGATTTAGTCAAACCTTTTTTGTATATTATAGATCTCAAATAGGTCCATGAATTATGGTTGTGTGCATAGTATAGCAGTTATCAGCATGGAAAGTGGAAATGAGGTACCAATTTCAAATTCCTTCCAAGGCCGTTGCATTCACTTTCACACAAATACCCATAGAAAAAGGGTGAATCCGTCTCTTCTCCTTCCAGCTAGGGGGTTAATAGCAGAGCAGACAGGCATCTCTTGATTAGAAACCACTCTAGGAAAAGGAAACTCACAAGTCAAAACATAGTAATTCTGCTCCATAAAACCCTGTTACAGAAATCACAGTAACAAGGCCTAGCATGGTGAGATCATGACCTTATGCTTCACACGTAAATATGTGGGACTGAACAGTGAACAACTATGAATTATACCTCCCAAAATATATTTTCCCAATTTTTCCTAATGACAACTTCAAAAAAAGTTACTTAAACTTTGCTAATCTATTTTCTCAACCATAAAGTAAGTTATGTTACAGTGTTGCACAATAAGTCCCCCATATGACCGGCTGAACACATGTCATTTAGAACCCATTTGATACTGTGTTTTCAGCAGGTCATATGAGGGACCCATTGTACCAGACTGTATTTTCCAGCTATTAAAAAAAACAAAAAACAAAACCCTACACTTTTTTTAATGGCTGGAAGATAGAGTCAAGTGAAATCTCATGTTCAAAATGGCAACCCATTTGAGTGAAGCGAAAGGAAATAAACAAATAAAGATCAAGTGGCACTTTGTCAGAAGCCAGTGAATGTAACAAACTTGACTGGAATTCAAACTCTGTTGATTTCTCATTCCAAGCTGCTATCCACTACATCACCTAAACATGTGATTGTTTGATATAATTAGATAAGCAAATTACAAAAACAAATTTAAGATGAAACTATATTTCTAATGCTTTTTTTAAAAGTTAATTTTATGATATTTCTCTTTTTTTCAAGTAAAGAGTTTTAATCCTTCTACAGTTACAAGTTGCCAATATTAATTTTAATATGAATTACTACTGTTATTACATATCAGATACTTTTTTTTAACTACTTTCTGTACATAAACTATTAATTCTTTTACATAATACAGAAAAAAAACAAAAAACAATACCACTTGTACAGACAACATTTACATCCTTTACCTTTCTTTCATTATTCCACTCTTGACTGAGTGCATTCACCTCTTCTTGATGCTGTTCATTTAATGTCTGTAATTGCCTCTCATTCCTGGCTGTCAATTTCTCTTCTAGACAGTCTTTTTCTTCCACATGTTTCTTCTGCAGTTCTTCAATCTGTTTCTTTAACTCGGCTACTTTGGCATCCATCTGTTCCTGTTTCTCCTAATGCAACATAGAAAAAAACAACATACTAGAATTTATTCTTATTCATTACAAAAAACTTAATTCAACTTTGTTTATTATTCATGCCATTCAACATTTGTGAGAGTCTGTAAACTTGTTTTTCACTGCAGTTGACAGTTCTGCTGTAGACTGGCTATTTACACTGAGTTAAATAATTAAGTTCATATTCCATAGTCAAATTGTAGAATTATTAATATTGATTAATTGCAGAACTGAAAGCTGTAACTACTTAATTTTCTTATTTTGGAATTGATCTCTGATAAGATCTGAAAGTGATGTAATTTAATCCTGGAAGTAATTAAACATTCCCTGATGTAAAATAACAGCTAAAATTTATATTTAAAAAATTACATATCTGTTCTTAACTGCTTGATGTTACTTAAGCTTCATGCACATGCCAATCACCAGGCATGATTGTCATGTGCATAAGACAGTGAAGAATAGCTGTAATATATTGTTATGAACCCTCATCTAATTTTATTCTAAAATCAACACTGAAGTTTATATTTTAGAAGTACTCTCAATGAGGAGCCAGTACTTTCAGAAAGTGTGAAAATGAAAAAAAAATAGTGAAATTGACAATTAATGGTTTTTGATCAAACTCGCATGCATTCAAGCAAAGATTATGTATTCCATGAAAAGTACACTTTCTCCTTCTTGGCCACATGATAGCATGATGATTTGACCAGGCATTAAAGCAACCTTGAACTCTCTGAGATATGGCAGAAAAAGGGAAAGGGTCAGTGACCTCTTTTTGCCCACACATGTAAAAGTCCATATTTTCAAATCATAAACCCTGGACAAGATAGAAAAGAAAAAGAAAGAAAGGAAACCAAAAAGAAATCTATTTCACAGATAAACTTTCTACCCACAAGGAGAAAAGAAAACAGAAAAGATAAAAGATAAAAAAAAATATAAAAGAAAAGAGAAACATAGAGAGACACTAAAAGAAAAGGAAGAGAAAAAGAAAAAGGAAGACTTTTTCAAATAGCAGATAAATCCTTTGTTTCTATTGCCTGTTTTATCTTTGCTCATTTTGCCTTGTTGTCATCTGTAATTTCATGCAAGTTTGGCACAAGGTCGTTTGTTAATATAATATTTACCTTTCTGAAAAGATAAATCCCTACCCCCTTGTTTTGTCCTGTAATATTTATTTTTGTCTCATTGTTTTGTTCTGACCCATCTTTCATCTTTTAATATACCCCAACCTATTTAATCCCCATTTGTATATTTTAGTAATAAAATGGTTATTTGTTATCCCAAAATCTTTGCCTTCTGTTGTTTGTCACCTACCATGTTTGTTCATTAATTGTTTCCATTTAGCTCAGCTATGTTTGATCAATCAAGAAAGGACCATTGGTAAAAGAATTTGTGATTCTATATTATATGTTACTGTGCCTCCCACTATCACTATAACAGTAAAAGAGGGTGGTATGTAATAGTATGTGTGTATATATATATATATATATATATATATATATATATATATATATATATGTAATCAAACGGGGAAAAAAAAAAAAAATTATGAATTTTCAAGAAACTAGAGTCCAATAATATTCAGACCCAGCAAGCATTCCTCTGTTTACAAAGGGAAGGCTCACAGGATCTGATATACAAGGACTCTAGAACCTTGAGGTGAAATGTGGAGTGGGACCTAGATAAAATTATAAATCGGTCACCACTAAAATTTTCCACACATTTCCTTCTATTCATTAAATGTTCAGCAATAGCAGAACCAGAACTGTTAGTCAGTTGGCTATTCCTGGAGGACGGATTCAAAATCCTGGGGGGTAAATGCTGTTTTATTCTCGAATCCAATATATATATATATATATATATATATATATATATTATATGCAACAAGAATTCATTCAAACAAGTGTTTCTAAATTTAACCAACAAATTGGAAAAACAGGAAGTAAAGAATTTTTGAAAATTTGTTCATAATTTAAATCCTGATGTACAACATCTTCAGAAAATGTAAAAATATAGTAAAAAAATAGACAGATCTTGTCAGTTGAATTTTTGTGTGTGTATTTTATATATATATATATATATATATATATATGCACACACAGACACACACACCTGCAGCACTATGCAACAGTCAGAGGCCACCTTAAACTATAATAAATTTTTAATAAATTATCTACTCATAAACGAATGTTTTGTACCCACTTTTTCCACATGTTGACTATGAGTGTCATTTACATAGCTAAATGTCATAGTTTGTTGCAGGAGGTTTAAAATTTGAAGGAAAAGATATTTGCTAACCTATAAAAATGGGCATATAAAAGTCTTAGATCAATTTGTGTAAGTTAGATGCGAAGGGAAATAACTTATTGAAATTTGCAAAAATTTGGTGTTATTATTATTTATCTCAGCATAATTTGCATTAACAAATGATTAGAATTACTTAATCAACTGAAATCATAGTGAAAATCAGAAGAGAAACCAGAATAAAGATTAGGGAATGTCTGTTAATAAGAGCCAGAGAAAAATAGATACGAAACTGAATATCAAGATGACAAGTTTCTAAAGATGTTTTGATGTTGTGAGACACTGGAGATGTATCAGATTAATCAAGATGTGGTCATCGTTGAAAGCTACAACAATGGACAGTCCATAAACTGATTAGAACATAAAAAAAAAAAAAAATCAACCAAAAATGACTACAAGATGGATGAATGTGACCTTTCTAATTTGGCATCGGTAGAAACTGATAACCATATTCTTCAAGAAAATGCATTGATGGGGTGTAGAGCTGTTTAAAAACAAAAATTTGGAGGCCAGATTAGAGTGCGACATGTTAAATTGGATTAAAATGATATTTAGCAATGAAACAAACATTGAAATGCATTCTGACAAAAGAGAATTTGTTAGAAAACTGAAAGGAAAAAGAAATGATGCCCACTATAATACAAAAACAGTAAAGTTTGCAGTCCAGAGTATAATGCTTTGGAGATATAGAAAAAAAAATGATGGTCCCAGAAAGTTGATAAAAGTGGACGAGAACTTAAATAGTATCAAATAAATTGAATTTATGAAGGAAAAATTGATTCATAATTCAAATGCCTGCAAGAATTTCAGCATGATGGCACTTTATACCATAAATCATGTACAACAATATCTAGCTGCTAAAAATGTAAACATATTAAAAGATTGGCCAACATAATGCCTGAATATTAATATTACTGACCAAGTTTGTCTAAAGAATCTATATAACATTAAGCTTCTCTCCATTAATTATCTGAGTGACCCCTCACTGCCTTCCATCAGCATAGCTGTTGCTAACCTCCGGGAAAGTGACTTGTGCCTTCTCAGGTTCACGTTCTCAGCTGATATGAAGTGGAAAGTCTATAGTGAATCCATTGCTAGGTCAGCAGCTATGAAAGCTGGTTCACCGTGTCATGCAACACAATTTCTCTCTCAAGAATCTGACATATCTATAAGTCTACCATTCATCCATGCTTAGAATATTGCTGTCACATATGGTCCAGTGGCCCTACTATTTATCTTGAGCTCTTTGATAAGATCCAAAGAAGAATCATTATTGGTCCTGATCTGGTGGCTCAGTTTCAGTCACTTTTCCAACGCCACAAGGTTACCTCTCTATGTCTTTTCTATAAATACTTTCATGGTAATTACTCGGATGAGCTCTTTACTATGGTGACTAGACTTTATGAATTTAAGCACATTACTAGACTGACATCAAGATCTCATCAATTTATAGTTGAGCTGGCTAGATGCAGCCATAAGTTTTATGGTAACAATTTCTTTTCTCGTACTTCTTGTTTGTGGAACTCCCTTCCAGCTCCATGCTTTCCAGCCAACATTAATCTGTAAAAATTTAAATCCAATCACTATGTACTGTCTTCCTGATTACTCTTTTCTCTTTCCACACATTATTAATGAGTCTGTTCCTAATTCTTTCACACCTTGTAACCCCTTGTATTTTAGTGGCTTTACAAAAAAAAACAAAAAAAACATTGAAGAATTATGAGCCCAACCAGAGGGAATGAAATTGTATATACACGAAATTGATAAAGGATCTGCACACATCTCTTCCATGATGGATTAAAAATTTATTCAAGCTACACAGTCACACTTAATATTAACAATCTAGTATTTTTTGTCTTGTTTTTTGGTATGCACAAAGTTTTCTATTTACTTGACTTTGGCAAAGTGGTCTAAGACTTATACATGACCATTTTTGTAAGCTAGCAAATATTTTTTCATCAAATTTTAAACCCCTACAACAGACTATGAAGTTTACCTATGTAAATGACACTTGTAGAGTAAATGTATCATCTGTGAAAAAAGGGTTACAAAACATTACATTTTTTTAAGGTCTCTCAAGTGCACTGGCTGATATAAAACACACTGTTTAAAATAAAAACAGGGCATCTATTTCAAATATGGATACCCAGTAAAAATAACATTTGAAGTAATAAAATAAATGTGTGTGTGTGTGTGTGTGTGTGTTTACAACAGCCCATTCCATATACAAAAGTAAAAGGGTGTGATGGCTCAGAATGCTATTTTCTCAAATAAAGGTGAATACTTCTTCTCAATGCCATGTTTCTTTCTTCCTGTTATCACCTTGCCTGGGGTGAAATGTTTAAAATCAATCAACATGGCAAAAGCTCTTTTGCTATATAGGTTTAAGTTGCTTTAAATGCCACCACATCAACCACTTTTAAAAGGATCAAAGGACAACTGATTACCTTATCTGTCCAGACTACAAACATCAATATTTGTAGACAAAACTGGTCAGTTGCCATCACAGCCACACTCATCATCATTGAATTTAAAGAAAGAATATCTCACAGATCCAACAGCTAAGTTCATTATCAAATAAAAATTCTGTAAACTTACAACAGTTGTTGTCTGTCTTTCTGGGTAAATGATAAAAAAAGGGAAAGAAATTTTCTAACTACAGCGTTCTCTTCATATGACAGTAGAATATGCATACAATATGACTGTTTAGGTGGTATTCTCTTAGGGCAGAAGAAAGCAGCAAGTAACCTACCTAATGAGTTGCATAAATGGATGGCAGAACAAGAATTGAGAAAGATAACAAAAAGACAAACCTTACTATGAGCTATAAAGGATAGGAAGTTTTGGAGAGCCATGAACATGGCACATAGAAAATTCTTTTAATGAAAATACTTTAAAATAAAATAAATTGAAAATTGATATCAAATATGAAATGTAATGAAATGATATTGAGAAAAGAAGTCAAAATATTGGATCATGAAAAAATTTTAAAAAATAAATAAAAGAATTCTATTAATTAAGCCCCCTCCCTGAGTGAATTCAAATAACAAATGATTTCAAAGATTAAAGTATGTAGGTGATCATTTACCTTCAAGTCTGTATGGTATTTGTCTTGTAAGTCTTCTAATTCTTCTTGTTTTGCATACAGATCTTTTGTTAATTCATCCACTTCTCTCCTGTGTTCTCGCATCATTCGGGACTCTTCTTGTTGACAGCGTTCTATTATAGGAAAAAAAGAATTTATATATATATATATATATATATTTTATTGTTATATATATATATATATATATATATATACAGACACATACACTTACCAATGTTAAATCCTATAAAAGGACTGCTCTAGTTGTGACTAGACTGTCATGGAATGTGATGTTCATATGACTTGGATGAAAATGAAAGAAGGGAGGGGCAGGCTTTATTGCTCAGTCTAGGCAATCTAGGCTTCAAGCACTTTCCTGAGTAAATAAGTTTGCTTTCTGGCCATTTTCTCTTCCTTTTTTTTCAGCATTGTGGTCTTTGAAACTATCTAATAAGAAATTAGGTTTTGGCAAGCTGTGTGTTGGTTCCACAAACATTTTTGTTTTTCTTTAATATATATGATCATATGGGAAGATGCTCAAGTGGTAACATTCAAACCCAGGTCTTATGATCAAAAAGTGAATGTTCTAACCACATTCATATATGTGGTTAGAACATTTGCTTTCTGACTATATATATATATATATATATATATATATATATATATATATATATATATATATATAATGGGAATGTGGGTAAGTGGTTAGAATATTCGCTTTTTGACCAAGGCCTAGGTTTGAATCTCACCATGGTTGTTTTGCCTGGAAAATGACTTCTGGATATTATCAACCTTGGGAAGTGATCCAGCATGGAAAGTGCTTGAAAGCCATAACACAGGATGATCTTAGCCTTGTGAGTGAAATTGGGTAGACGGAACTATTTGAGAGCCATTGATGATTGTGTTAGCATGAAATCACAAGTCACTGTGACTGAGGGTTTGAGTGTACAGGCCTTATTCAAACTGTTGATAAACCAGATAATGCACTCTCTCCCAGAAACTGTAAACAAGGCCTACTCAGCATAGTTGCAGTATAAACCACAGGTTGACTGTGTGGGTGTTAAACAAAGACAAATGTGCCTGAGCAAGCGTCTGAAACAGGGACTGGCTAGCTGCCCTAGTAGACTGGTATGAGCAGCTAGCCACTACATTACATATGATCTGAGCCAAAAACTATTATTAAAATAGACTACTAGTTACTTATAAGTAACTAATAACTATAAAAATAAACTATTAGTTACTTATAAGTAACAAGATCAGTTACAACAAATTTAGTATATAAGATAAGGAAATTGAACATAGAATACCAAACACCACAAGTTGCTACAAAAGCAAAAATTAACCTAAAAACTCAAGTCATGTTCTGAAATAGTCTCATCAGATTTTAATATAGATGTCATGCATAGCACCAAATCTATATCTGTGTACACTTATTTTGTAGATATACTGTATTTTATTTTAAAATTAAAAAATAATGTATTGAAGAGTCAAAATTTTAGCAGACATTATTGTTTGCTAATGAATTATTTTGCAGACATTTTAATTATCACCTGCTATAATGTTGATTTTTCGTATACTGCAAAAAAGGAAAGAAAATGTAACTGATCTGTTTATTTTGCCCATTTAAGGTCTTCTTGTGCATATGCAAAGTGACTTGTTTGAGTTTATCCACATCTTGGAGATGCTCATAAAAGAGTGAGTTTGTGCCTTTCAGAAGTTTTTTGACAGCGGGCATTGAAGAGTACCTTTAGGCAGAAGAGTGTGTGATGTCATCATCCATCCAACTCACTGATACGTTGTAGCAGGGAGAAGATTGATGTCACCATGACATGCGACTACCACAGAAAACAGAGTGGTCCGATCTTTACGAAGAATGCTGTTTTTTGTAAGCAATGGATTCACTGTAGACTTTCCACTTAATATCAGCTGAGAACATGAACCTGAGAAGGCACAAGTCACTTTCCTGGAGGTTAGCATCAAACATGCATTTTTATAAACTCAGCAGAGTATGCCAAAATTTTAAAGGGTTTAATTAAATTTAAAATCTGTTAGTAAGATCCTTAGTTGTCATTTGAAACTTTAATTAAAAAAAAGATAACAGCTGAAAATATCCGAGTTATCCTTTTTGTTCTGCCTGTAAATACAAAAATCACTTTATTATATGTAAATATTCAAGATCAAACTTCCAATTTATTTTTTATGATAAATTATAACAATCAAGTTGTTGACATTCCACACTACCTCTAACAAAATGTAAGGAAGACCCCACCCCCATCAGTAGTAGAAAGAGCAATAACAGTTACTGGACTTGATAAACCTATTTTCTTGAAAAATTGTTTTAATTGAAAAACTTTATAAATGTCAATTGAAAGCAACACTGGTTGCTAAGTCAATGAATGCCGAATGTTTCCTTATAAGGAAATGGTTAATATTAACAGACTATTAGTTACTTATGTGCAGAGAATAAAAAAGAAATCCCTTCCATTTTTATAAAAGAAAACTATACTTCATGTTTGAAAAGATTTTAAATCTAAAATTCTGAATAAAAGCACAATATTGATTTATTAATTATTAAATGCAAAGGCGGATCAATATGTCCATATCCTGATATAAAGATTGAGTTGAATTTTCATCTATCATTTTCACTATATAATGACTGATCTCTTCAACACTGAATTAAGTGCATTGACAAAAGATACCATGCTGAAAAATACAATATTTTCTGTGTCAAATAAATTATATTCTTTTATCATTAGACCATGGACTTGGTGATATACCTACATATACTATGGGAAAATCATAGTAAACAAAAGGAAGTTAGTTTCGTACGTTTATATAAAACAAAATTCAAGAGCCAAAAAGCAGATATAATTATGGAAACTCATAATACGTAGACATCAAATCATTATTTCTGTTTTCAAAATCTTTCTTAGTGAAATGGAATCATTTTAACACAACCAGCAAACAATTCACTCATCAAGATTTTTTTCTACCAAGTGCAAACAAAAAAAAATTATACAAGAAATAAAATTATTTATGCACTTATTTTATGTGTCTGCTGAATAACTCAATATATTTGATAATTTACATTCATACAAAATGGCAGCTTATAAATTTATCAAATAAAATTAATAATAAAATCTGACTGAATGAATTTAATCAATTAGTTCAGTAGTTTATTTGTAGAAGCTAGTAAGAAAATAGTATGACAAAGTTGATAGCATCACTTATGATAGATTATTTCAAATGGATTTAGACCAAAAACAATGCTGAATTGACAGACTAGATAAATCTAACAGTAAAACAAAAATATTCTCAGCAAGAGTTAAACATTGTATCTTATGTACAAACTTAATTTGAAATGACTTTATAAGTTGAAAGATGAGGTAAAAGTAGCAGTAAAACAAAAATATTTCGGGCAAGGGTTAAATTGACACATTTGGTAAAAATAACAGTAAAACAAAAATAATCTAAGCAAGGAGTAAACATTGTATTTTATGTACAGACTCAATTTGCAATGGCTTTAGATATAGAAACAATACCAAGATGAAAGACCGGGTAAAAATTTACTGTAAAGCAAAAAATAATCTGATCAAGGGTTTACCATTCATATTAAGTATATGGACTGAATGTTATGTTGATCTGAGAGATGCATACAGTACTTACCAACAGCTTCAGAAAAAGAATCTTCATAAGATTTGTCTTTCTCAGCCATTTTTTGATGGACTTCTTTGGCCAAAGTTTTTATTTTGGAATTATGTTCATCCTGTAAGTCTTTCATTTTGAACTCATGCTCTTGAGTCAAGGTAGTGATTTCTGATTTATGCTTCTCTTCTATCTCCTCCATGGTCTCCTTAGAAGACAACTTTAGCTGCTTCAGTTCTTGACTTATTTTATTCTTTTCTGTCTCCAAGCTTTCAACCTACAAAACAAAAGAACAAATTCTATTTACATTTACCCTTTTTGAATCTGTTACATTTCATAATTCTGCATCAAGTGGTGAGTAGTCACTCATTTTCAAGTATGACATTAAACCTCACAAGTGATCAAAGTTTGGATAGAATTGCTAACTTCATTCTCTCACTTACAGGGGCTGCATCAGAAATTAAATAAACTGACAGGTAGTAATGTAATGAGGCAGTGACCCTGTTTAAACATATGAAATTACAGAACAGTGAATTGGAGGGACTAATACTTGGCTAATAATTACAAAAATTCTCAGGAGAGTAGGTTGAGAAAAAAATTAAAAATGAAATGCATTAAAATTTGTGTTTTAAAAAAAAAATGGAATTAGGAGCAGTTCCAAGAATTGAATCCAGATTTAATTAGGCAAGATTTAATAAAACTGAGCAAAACCAAGATTCCTAACCTTATCCACTACCTGCTGATAAGAAAAAGATGATGTGTTGTCTGAATTTCTTGGGTCCTGAGAAAATAGAATTTAGATGTTTGTTTACACTACTCTATCTGTAGAAAATGTGTGGTAAATAATGATCTAAATTATCTTAGACAAAGAAACCTGCCTTGTGTTAAGTACCAAGATTTGGGATTTGTTTATGTTGAGTGTCCAAGAATCCAATTATCTTTACAGAAAGATATCTAGGAAGATTTTAAACATACAAAAGTAATTCTATAGGGTTAATTAGCAAGATCGCCTAAAATTAAGATGTCCCTTTTCTGCAACAATCATCTGTAATTGTTATAATTATCATTATTTTGGATTTATGGCACAGAATCCTTCACCAGTAAGAAAAGCTGGTTAATTTACAGGAATATGGAGATAATAAAATTGAGAATTGTGAATTGTCATTTTCTGGTGCCTGGTTAGGTAAAGTGAAATTATTAATCATTATTAACAGAAAAGATTTCCCTATATAAAGCCAGTGTGCATTTCGCTTAGTGGTCCTTTCCCTAGTGGGGAGGAGATGTCAGACACTAGAAGCACACTTGTATTTCAGTGATATGAGTGAACACATAGACAAATGCATGACAGAAGAATTGAGGAAAGATCAACTGGCCGGTTATTACTTTAGCAGCTGTGTCTACAATTTCCAAATCAACACCCTGCAGTAGACACCAATCAACTGGCGAGCTAAAAATTCCTAAATCACCACCATGTAAAACAAAATTTGATTTTGCAGTAGATAGAGATATTTTATTCAACAAGTTTTTCTTTATACTCAATAAACCCATTAGAGTTATCAACAGTGTTGAAGGAGTTCTTATTCCAAGAGTTTTTATTTGAGTGAAAAGAGACAAAAGTATACCATGGATACAGGAAGGAATTATGAAATCTTGTCTGTGGTACACAATGTATATAAGAAGTTCACACTAGACTTTGCTGTCAATCCCAATATTGTAGGATTTTGGGAAACCTGAAACAATATTATCAGGGGGAAAAGGAAGCTGGAGGACCCATAAGGTTGGTATTATTCAATAGGGTTGTCATTAAGAGTGGGTTAAGTCAAGGAAGTCCCTATTCCTTTCAGTGTAAAACACAGTAATAGTTGCCAAGAAACATTTTTTAAGAATTTGTTGCCTTTTTAATTTATTCTACTTTGCTCTAATTAAGTTCTTATAACCTCTCTCAGTATTTATCAAACTTTGCTGCACAACCAACACTTAATCCATTATTATATTATCCCGTAAGTATTGGTTCATGAATTTGATGACAGTCATTGAGTTCAATCCCTGGGCCAGGCAATGTGTACATGGACTCAACGGAAACAGAGCAAGCACTAACTGAGCAGTACCAAAAATAAGAAATAGACAAGATAACCTTAGATATGAGCAGTGGAATGAGAACCATCTACCCACATAGATTAAATAAAAAGTTCAGTTTGGAATTCCCTGCAGGTTAGTTGGATCAATATACACCTGATGAAGACTGGAGGGCAAAACAGCCAAAATGTTGTGATAATAACAACAAAGATGAGGACAATAGTCTGGATGAAAATAGTGTAAATAATGATAACTCCTCATCCCAAAAATTCAGACAGAAACTTATATTTAATTGGATTTCATTCCAAGTAAGTAACTGTGTGCGTATGTGTGTGTGTATATATATATATATATATATATAGTGAACTCTCCCATCAATTTTGACATATGAGGGTCTAACAGTTCAGGTTTTTGTTTGTTTTTACAGAACAGAACCACCAGATTACCCAAACACATGATTTGATTCTAGAGGTGAAGGCTTCTATAGAACCAGCCACAGTTCTTTTTGTAAAGAACTGATAACAGAGAAATAATGCACAGTGTGCCAAAAAGTCTCTAGGCAGCCCTCCTCAGGTTTGAATTTAGAGTTTTCCTTCTCCTAGACTGGTTGCCAAAGAAGGTGAGAGAGAACCTGGTCTGCCCTGTTATTTACTCCATAGTTGATGGGGAAAAAGAGAAGGATCCATGCCTTTCTCAAGGGTATTTGTGCAAAATAAATGTAACAGTCTCAGCTTGCCACTTTCTCTTTTTCAGCTGTTAACCATTACACTAACTGCACATCCATATATTCATATATATAATAAAATTAAATTAAATTAAAATGCCAGCTATTAATATTAACAAACAATATATACAAAATGATATAATTTAACATATAACAATTTCTGCTGATATAGGACTAAAGTGCTAATTATTATTATTATTAGAAGAGAAGTAAAAACATTCAATATTTATCAACGGTCAAGTTTTGTATTTTTTTTAATCACTCATTGGGACTTGCAACAAGAATAATTGCACTGATCACAGAAAATCTATTTTATAAATTAATTTTAGATAATGTTGCAAAAAATAAAATAATGACTTTACCTCCCTTTGTTTAAAAAAAAATTAAATTAAAAAGAACAAAAAGTACAAAATGGAAATTTAGTAGAATCAGTTAAATTTTTGTTAGATGTAATTCAATAATATAATATTTATTAAATATAAGTAGGCCTATAAATTATTTTTTTTTATTCAGTTGAGCTAGCTCGGACAGTTTGTCTTTCAGTGGCTTCGTACTCATCTAAAGTTCACCATTCCTACAGAGAGGACCAGTGTCAGATTTTCTGATAGTTTTCCCGGACAATGTTCACTGACATGTGTATTATGCTCCACGGAGGTGGTGTAAAAGCCAAATACATAGTTCATCATGTAAAACCATCTACACCTGACTGCCATCCTGCATTCCAACAGCTTCCCCACTAATCACTTTATAAAATAAAAGGAGACATAAACAGAAGTACATATTTTTTTTTTTTTTTTTAGAGAGGCTATATATATATATATATATATATATATATATATCTTGGCAAGTACACAAACATACTGTATTAAAACAAATTATAAAATCATGAAGATTAGTAATTGCAAAACAACACAATGCATTCAAGTTGATTGTTTGGGGAGGTAAATACTATTAATCCATTGTACTTGAAGATTGCCATAAAGCACACCAAATTACACTTTAGACTTAAGAACTGACACCTTAACTCATCTACTTACTCCCAGACCTTATTTAAACATTGTCATCAACAAGAGGTCTTGATTATTTACATGCAGTCTATTTTTCCCACTTTTGTTGTTAATACAACGTCTCGGTCATTATGCCCACTGGTCTTCATCGGGTGATTGTCGACCTGGTAATCTTTAGAGAATTTCAAACAAAACTCTTTATTTAATCTATGAGGGTAGATTGTTCTTGTTCTACTGTTTATGTTCTGATCTAGTTCTTATTTTAATTTATGACCATAGATTAAATAAAGTGTCTAGTTCAAAAATCCCTGAAGGTTACCTGGATTAACAATCACCTGATGAAAGCCAGTGGGCACAACAGTTGAAACATTGTGATAACAATGGCAAAGATGGCAACAATAGTCAGCCTGTAAATAATGATAATTCCTCATCTGAAAAATTTAGACAGTCTTGAGTACAGGGGATTAATTGGTAAAATTAGAACATTAGACTACTATGTTACATTGCATGTCATGCTGAGAAACAGAAAAAAGGCTCAAAAATATTTCATGAATCCAAAAGACAACATGCAAAATATGTTAGATCTAAAAACCTAAACAAGCAAGAGAAATAAAACTTTAGCCTCTAAGGCCAATGAGCATACATTGACTTGAAGTTTGTTTTCTTTCCTTTTAGAAAGTTTTGCGTGCTTATAGAGGAATCTGATTCATGCACCCACAGAAAACTTCTGGGACTGTTATTACCCTTGTAGTCTCCCTCTTACTAGTCAAGAGTTACCCAGATTCTTAACTCCTTTAATTTATGACAGGCTCATATTAATAACAAAACTGAACCAAAGTTTGTTTTTTTATGTTTAAATTATACAAAACTAATGACTGTTAAGGCAGCAAGCTTATTTACCTTATTTACACTTGGTCTATTGTCATCATCTTATATTTCAGTCATTGGGCCCTCTGACCTTCATCAGCTAAGTGTCAATCTGGTAATCTTTAGGAAATTTCAAACTAAAGTTTTTATTTAATCTATGGGGGATAGGCTCTTCTCTTTTTGCTGTCCAAGAAGCTTGTTAGTCTTACATCAGGAATGATAAGCATGTAATAATAATATCATTTTAAAAAAGGTCATTTCCTGTGATAAAATTTAAAGTGAAATACAAATATGTCCATTGCAATATATTCAATTAAACAGCTAATTTCATTTTGTATAATGATTTAATCTATATCTCTTGGACATCAACAGATATTTCAGAGTTAGCCAAGATATTAGGAGATATGATTTCCTTTATGATAACCGTTTCTTTCATCAAATGATCAGTGAGTTACAACAGGTAAAATGACATCCTCCTCTTTCAACTAAGATCAAATAAATCTTGTCATCAAACAAGGTTTCACTATCCTGATCCAAGTTCAAAGGCAGATATGCCGACATTGGGTAACTGCTTTTAATAAATTTTCTAATATTACCCACATAATGTAGACACATACCTAAAGATCTAGAAGGAAAACACACACAACATGTTACCTGTATCTTATGCCTTTCTTCTTTTTGACTAGCTTCAACTTCCAGATTTAGCAACTCCTGTTTGAGACTTTCATTTTCAGATTTAATCTCATTGAATGTCCTGCGTAGTTGGGATTCTGAAGACCTTATATCTTCTGACTTTAAGAGTTTTTCCTGTAGGACTTTTTCTCGACTACGCATTTTTTCTAAGTGTTCCACCTGAAGAAAAAAAAATATATTTGTTAAACGATTCTAATGATGTTCAGTATTAACAAAATCTCAATATATTTATAATAAAAACATGTAATTCGTTACATTAAATAAACTTAGAATGATTTATATTTTTTGTATCAGTCTTAAATGTTCAAGTGTGCGTGTATGCATACATACATACATATATATATAATTTTAGGGGAAAAGAAGTATGATAAAAAGGGGAAAAGAAGTATGATAAAAATGGAAAAAGTTTTTCATGTGACACATTTCATCCTTTAGAACTTCATTGAATTAAGTTTATGCTTACATTGATGCACAAAGTCACAAGTCATCGTGGCCTTGTTCAAATAGTTGATCACACTAGATAACACACTCTTTCTCAGAAACTGTAACTAAGGTCTGCTCAATATAGTTACAGTATAAACCACAGGTAGACTCTGTGGGTGTTGAATAAACACAAATGTGCCTCAGCAAGCGTCTGCAATAGGGATTTGCTAGCTGCCCTAGTAGATCCACAAATATAAGTGGCAAGCTATACATACATACATTGATGCAAGTAGATGTGCATGAATGAGAGATGATAAGAATTTCAAATAATTAAGAATCTAAATGAAAGCAACTAGATTATATACCCAAAACATAAGAAACAATATTGTATTAATCATACAAACATATCAATAATAAATATATCAATCCCTTGAATATTCAAACTGCTTTTCACACATTCACACACTCCTCTTTACCTGCAAAAAATATTTATCATCATTATTATTTATTAAAAAATAAAAAATATAGTAAATGTACAATAATAAAATTATGAAATTAAAAATATGAAAAATGAATTAAATGAATTTTATTATTAAATCAATCCTAGAACATCTACGGTAATAATGGTATAATACTTACTGTATACCTACTTTAGTGACCCCATATATATATATATATATATATATATATATATATATATATATATATACACACCTGAATACAAGGTTGGTATAGATGGAATAAAATTCCAATAACGAAAATCACTATTTTTAAAAAAAAGTGCTCAATACAAAGTAGATCGAATAATATTTATTTAAAAATTATAACATAAGTATGTTATAACAACACTCCAAAAATAGCCATTTTGTTTCAATACTTCTGGTGTCTTGTCAAGTGATGGTGTTGATTGTAAAATTAACTTTTTATTTTATAATCAACACCATCACTTGATAAGACACCAGAAGTGTTGAAACAAAATGGCTATTTTTGTAGTGATGTTATAACATGCTTATGTCATAACATAGGGAGAGAGTGGAAGATTTATACCTGATGATTACTAGCAGTTTGAAACATTTGTGGAATCCTCTACTCTATGGTGAAGCTATTCAGTCATAATTGATTTAGCCAGACAGGCTTGCTAACCATTACACCATGTTGGAATTCCCTTACTACTTTTTATATGTACTTTCACTTTCTTTGGTTTTAGTAAACCCCAGAAATAAGTAAGTTTTACTTAAATTCCCAAAATGCAAATGTAGTGATATGCCAAAGACAAACTTCCTTTAACCGAAAAGGTGAAAGTTCTTGACTTAAATAAGGAATAAAAAATATATATGCTGAGGTTGCTAAGGTTAGATTAGTTTAGTGGAATTAACCCTTCGTTAGTAATAAGGGCATTATTACAGTATTATTACCAAAGTGTTTTCAAACCTCTTATTTAAAACATTACAGAAAAATTATTTAGTTCTTAATTTTCTTATTATATATTGTCTTGAGTGTTATTTCTGTTTTTTATAAGATAAATGAAAATGAAAAACCAAAAAGTTTTATTTTGAAAAATCAAGTTAAAAGGCCAGTATTTCAAAAATTAAAATATACAAAAATCTGTTTCATTTTATTTTCAGTAAACAAATGAAGGTGATTGTAATTCACACAAATATTATGACTAAAACCAGAAACTTGTGGTAGACAGAACTATTAAGAAATCTACTTGACTAATTATGAAAACATGATTTGCTACTTAGTTAATATTGAGGAAAAACAAAAAAAGTTGAAACATTCCATGATAGTAACAGAGGGTTAATATAATTTCTCACTCAAGGATGTTTTCTTTTCTCTTTCTTTTATTTGTTAACACACTAATAACCAAAAAGGAAAAATATTATTAAAATTTAATTAAAAATCATCATCAGTTGTTGTAAAAATAGTGAAAAATATATTAATAACAAATATGAATTTACAATTATCATGTAAAAATAAACATTCTATTTCCCTTTACTTGTTAATTATTTACATATACATTTTTTATCAAGATGATTTAAATTATTTTTTAAAATTCTGTCTCATGATCCTTCAGAATGGCTGTGATCATAGACCTCCATTGCTTAATATCTTTCTTTACTCTTAGCCTATTTTTTGTCTTTATGATTTATTCCTTCCTCCTTTTACTCAAACTAGTCAAATGTTTGACTTCTGCTTACCTTTTATTATTACTAATTTATAGTCATGTACTTGTAATTCACACAAATATAACTAAAACCAAAAACACCTTGTAGTTATTTGACATAGGTATTAAGAAAGCTACTTGAATAGTCATGAAAATTTGATTTGCCAAAGTCTTTACAGCCATGTGCTTGTAAATCACACAAATATCATAACTAAAACTAGAAAATCCCATGTAGCTATTTGACAGATATATTCAGAAAGATACTTAATTAATCATGAACTTTCCACTTACTACATAGTAAAGAAAAACATTTTGGAGGGCATTCAAAAATTCCATGGCACTAACAGAATGGTTAACCACATTTCAACTTTTGCTGTGTTATTCAATGCTGAAGAAGTTGATAGGATTTATAACAAATCTTTCTATCAATTACTTAACTTTTATTAGTAGTATTGTTATTAATCCTATTCAGTATATTTTTAATTACACTTTAATTATCATGGGAAAACTTGTGCAGCTTATGGAAAAAGGACTAACCACCAATTGCACAAAGACAGAAGACCCCAAGATGTCAGCTACAGATTGAACACAAAATCATATACATGGTCATTATCTTTTCTCATGGTCACTCTGCACCCTACTGTCCTGAATTACTATCCTTTGTCTTCCTTCAGTTCAGTTTGATCCCAATTGAATAAGCATGAATGAATATTTATTCAAATTTTCAAAGACAATGAAAAATCTCCCTTCATGCTATTGTGGAAATATTTGTGCAACTTAAGGAGAAAAGAGTAACCATCAATTGTACCTAATTCAGAAATCAAACTTTATCATTAGGTTAAACCAGGAACATGCCATCAGTAATTACTCAGGGTAGGCAGCTTGTGAACTTTATGTAGTAAATCCACAAAAAATAAAATATTTTGCATTTTATACATAATATTACAGTAACATCATAATTTTGTTTGATTAGGTGCATATTGTACCACAGAAAGCAAATGTAGCTGCTATTTTATTTGGGGTAGGCACTGCCTACTTAGACAGCTTGTCCCTGGTTTATACATATGTATAGGAAAATAAAGTATATACAGGATGGAGCAGAAATACCTCCCACATAATGGTAAGACATTAGTGAGATGAAGACACCAGTGCCACTCATATCTTACTATTATGTTGGAGGTATTTCTGATGCACCATATACATATAAGTTCGGGATTATCCACTGAAGCTTTTGGAACATATCCCCTCATGGATAAGGGAAGACTAATTTATAACTACATCAGATTAAAGGCATTTTTCCAAAGTAGGATAAAAACGAAGTCCCTACAAGGAAGGGGAAAAGTTATTATTATTATCATAATTCAGACTTACCTTCCATTGTGTAAATTCTTCTTCTATGGTACGTCTTTCAGTTTTTACTGTTTCAAGTTCTTCTGTTAATCTCTGCACTTCATCATTTGTTTCTTTTTGTTTTTTGTTCATTGTCTGCTGAGTCTCTTCCATCTGTTTCTTCATTTGTGTAATATAAACCTCTGCCTTCTTTTTGTAATCAGCAATTTTAGCATTTGATTCACTTTCTACTTTGTCAATTTGTGCCTGGTGGTCAGCAACCAATGATGCCACCTGCTGTTGCATCTTGGAATGCAGTTCATCTTTTTCATGACATGCATGTTCCAGCTTCTTGGAAATCTCATCAATGTTGACCTGTTTCTCTTTTATTTCATCAGAAACATTTTTTGTGGAAGACTCTAAGAGTTCACATTTTTTTTGGCTTTCTTCATGGTTCTGCTTTACCATTTGCAGTTCTTTGTTCAATGATTCTAACTGTTGCTTGTCCTGTTCTTGTTCCTCGAGGTACTTGGAGCACAACATTGTCTTTGCATCAAGCTGGGTTCTCAAATTTTCTTCAGCATTTTTCAAAGAGGTCAGCTCCTCTAACACTGCCTTCAACTCATCCATCACTTTCTGCTTTTCTTGTTCTTTCTCAATCGAACTGGCAGTCAAAGACTCCACACTTTTATCTAATTCCTCACACAAATTGTTCATTTCCAGATATTCTTTCTCTTTCTTCTTTAACTTATCTATGTCTTTCAAAACAGCCTCTTTTTCAGCTTCTAAAGTATCACATTTCAGATGCAAATTATCCAGTTCTTTTAAGCTCTCCTCATTTGCTGACAACTGCTGGATAAGCTGGTCCAATTTTTCTTTACTCTCCACCTGATGGCCTTCGAACTGAGCTGAGAATTTCTGCTGCATTTCTTCAATTGTGGTATTTAGCAATTTCTCTTTCTTCTGTAATTCTTCATTATGATGCACTGATTCTTCATCACGCATAGCGATATGTTTCTGGAATTCTTGGATTTGGCTTTCATAGTTCTGAATACAGTCACTTAATTTCTCTTCAGCTGTTGACAATTTTTCTTGTAAAGTTTTCAGGTTCTCTTGAAGCTCTTTGTCATTCAAGATAAGGCTTTGCATTCGATTCTTAAGATTTTCAATCTCACTAACATAATCTGAAGTACGTTCTTGCAAATCTTTATCAAAGTTCTTTGTAAGACTCTCCTTTTCAGCCTGAAGTACAGTAATATGTTCAGAGTTTTCAACGTTCTTTGCTATTTCTTGTTCAATCTGAGCCTGCAAGGAGGTAATTTGGTCCTCCCTTTCTGACAAGGCAGCAGCATGGACCTCTTTTAATTCACTCATTTGCATGGTAACAGAAGCAAATTGCTGTTGCAAGTCAGAGCCACTTTTGCAACTTTCTTGCAGCTCTTTGTTATCATTCTTCAAATGCGTAATCTGCTTGTTGGCTTTTGACATCTTTTGCTGCCATTTTTCATTGCATTTTTTCAAGCGTTCCTCCATTGCACGCTTCATTTTCTCAGTCTCTGCTTTAAACTCTTCCTCTGCCTTTTGGAATTTCACCTGCAATTCTTCAATCTCTTTTCTTAAAGACATACTCATATTTTCGGCACTCGATATTTTCTGCATCATCTCTTCTTGATTTTGTTCTCTTGCTGCATCAATTTCGTCTTTTTCACTAGCTGTATTATCCATCTTCTGCTGCATTTCATTCACAGTCAACTGCATGTTTTGCTTCTCTGTCTCAAGCATGTCTCTTGCTGTTATTGCTTCACTCATTTTTTGCTGTAATTCATTCAAAGTCATTTGTAATTTCTGTTTTTCTTCTAAATGTGCATTCCCTACACTATTTGCATCATCAAACCTTTGCTGCATTTCATTCACTGTCAACTGCAGGTGTTGCTTCTCTGTCTCAAGCATGTCTCTTGCTGTTATTGCTTCACTCATTTTTTGCTGTAATTCATTCAAAGTCATTTGTAATTTCTGTTTTTCTTCTAAATGTGCATTCCCTACACTATTTGCATCATCAAACCTTTGCAGCATTTCATTCACAGTCAACTGCATATTTTGCTTCTCTGTTTCAAGCATGTCTCTTGCTGTTATTGCTTCACTCATTTTTTGCTGTAATTCATTCAAAGTCATTTGTAATTTTTGTTTTTCTTCTAAATGCACATTCTCTACACTATTTGCATCATCCAGTTTTTGTTGCATTTCACTAAGGCTCAGCTGCAACTGCTGTAAATGAGCATCTTTTAGTTTTTGCTGTTGCAATTCAAAGTTCTTCTGGTTTTCATTGACAATTTCCTGCAATTTGGAATTCCAGTTAAAGTTTATTTTTTCTATTTGTTCCTTATTTTCTTCATTTAGACTTCTGTTTTCCTCTTTCAATTCCAAAATCTTTGTTTTAGCCTCCGAGCGCAGTTGTTGGAACTTCTGCTGCATTTCCTGCAACTCTTTGGATTTCTCTTCAAAGACAGATGATTTTATATTTACTTCCTCTTGAAGTTGTGATATATTGTTTTCCATCTGCAGTTTGTAAGACTCAAGTGAGGCATTCTCGTGACACTTCAATACATATTTTTCCTCTTTTTCTTTCAAGAGCCCAGCTTTCACATCAAAATCTTCTTTCAACTTGTTAAACTGATCAAGCACATCATTTTTTTCCTTTTGCAGGTTTTCTTCCAACATCTGACTTGTAAGCAGTCGATTATTTAATTCTTCATTTGATTTGAGTAGACTCTGCAGAGTCTCTTCAAGGTCGATTTCCTTACCTTCCTTGGTATCTAAGACAGCTTGCATTTGACCCTTGGACTCTTCAGCTGTTTGGAGGGTGATCTTCAGATCAACTATTTGGGATTCTAATTCTTGGATCTTTTCTTTAGACTCAGCATTCTCTTGCTGAGAGATAGAAATTGTCTTGGACAAAATCTTCTCATGTTCCTGCTGTACCTCCTGAATTTTCTGCATGGACTGATAACTAGCTGCAGAACATTCCTTTTGCAAAAGCTCTTCAAAAGACAATTTCTCAGACTGCACTTTATTGACAAGTTCTTGCCTTTCTTGCAGCCATTCATCTGTTTTCAGCTGTAATGTTTCTGTCAGCTCCTGCACCTGCTGCTCAAGTTGAGCCTTCTCCTCATTAAGTTGCTTTGTGTTGTTTCCAGCCTCACTGAACTGATTTTTCAAATTTCGGACAGTCTCCTCATACTGAATTTTCCCGTTTTCCATCTCAGTCTGCAGCTTGGTGTAGCTATCTTTCTCAACCTGCAGGGTCCGCTGGAGATCAGCCAGCCGCGTTTCAAACTCTTGTGTGCGTGCTTCAAACTGTGTATGCATATCAGCAACCTTGTCCTTATACTCACGTACTGTCTGGTTAGCAAGCTCCAGTTGGCACGCTTTCTCAGCCAACAGCTGCTCGTAACTCGACCGAACCCCCTCCAGCTGACCTTTATAGTATTCTTCAATTTCAGCATGAGAACCTGACACATCTTCCTGGTGTGAATTTCTTAACTGTTCAATTTCCTCTGCATGTTTCTGTATAAGGCTTTCTATTTTTTCCTGAGATTTAGCTTCTTGCTGTTGTAGCTGAGTTTCAAGTTCAGTCCGATGTCGTTCAGTCAATTCAGCAACAAGGGCTTCATTACCCAGCCGAGTATTCTCCATATACTCAGCATGTTCCACTTCTACCTTGGCTTTCTCACTGTCTAACTGTTCAATTCGATGTTGCATTTCTATTCTCTCCTGAGGCAAATAAAGAACAATATTTCAAATAATTAAAATGTAGTGAAAATATGCAAAATAGAACAGATAAGAAATAAATTTAAAAAATGAATAATCTTACTTTATCATAAGCAAACAAAAAGATAACAATTACAAAAACAAAAATCATTTAAAGCATTCACAGATTTATTACAGAAATTGTTTATTGTCTTCCTTCTCAGCTAAGTGAAGTGAACCTTACAAGAACCATGTTGAATGACCCTGAAAAGGTCACTGACTGAAACTTTTTTAGATGACAAGACAAAGAACACTGTTCTCTATAAGACAGTGGTCACTAGCAGCCAAAAACACAGACCCACATAGAGGGACAAGAGACCGCTTTTTTTAAAGGCCACAAGTGTTTGACTGAAAGAAGCTGTTTACAAAGCTGGTGTCTGGTCTGATTTGCAATGCTACACTTTATTAAAAGATGATTTGATATTATACAGGATGGTGCAAAAGTTTCTAGCCATTTTAAAACTTGCACTACTTTCTAAAATTATAATCTATTTTATTTTGTTCTTTGACAAATATTTAAGGTTGATTTGGTGATTTCAATATAATGGCTCTGATGAACTTTTCTCTATGGTATCTAGATTTTATGAATACTATAAATAATGCAGTACTAGATTGGCAGCAAGGTCTCATCATTTTACAGTTGATGACTATTTGTCAGGATGCTGAGATGAAGAGAAGTGGTGACTCCATTGCCACAAAATGCACTAACTGAATAAATGAATGACATATACACATATCTGTTGGGTACGTGGCCAAGTGGTTAAAACGTTTGCATTCTGACAATGAGACTCAGGTTCGAATCTCACCATTGTAGATTTGTTAGGAAGGAGACTTCCTGATGTTATCGGACTGGAGGAGTCCCCGTGTGTGGCACCTTTGGAAACTGACTGAAAACCATACTACAGGTTGACCCAAGCCTTGTGAGTGAAACTGGGTTGACGGAACAATTGGGTGCTATTGATAGCTGTGCTAGCATGAAGTCACAAGTCACTGTGGCCGAGGGCTTGAGCATGCTGGCCTTGTTCAAATTGTTGATCATGCTAGATAACACACTCTTTCCCAGAAACTGTAACTAAGGTCTGCTCAGCATAGTTGCAGTACAAACCAGAGGTGGGCTCTGTGGGTGTTGAATAAACACAAATGCATCTGAGCAAGCATCTGCAATAGGGATTGGCTAGCCACCCTAGTAGACAGGTATCCTCAAATAAGAGTGGCCAGCTATACATACATATATATGTATAGGTTATGTATATATGTGCACATACACTTTTTTTTTTAACTTATTAACAAAACAACAGTCAAGATGTACACAATATAGACAGTAGAAGAATAAAATAATCAATATCATCAATCAGTCATCAAAAGTTATCTGACATTATTTCTCATTACTATAAATGTTATTTTTAGTGGATGCTCTTGTTTGAGTTGCTGTCTGTTTTTTTATTTTATTAAACAGTGAATTTAACTGAAGTTACCCGATATAAATTCATAGAACTACCACCAGTTACGATGAATGGATGTTCCTCAGAGAGGGGCCATGCCTTGAGAGACTACAGGGTCTTACACTGACACCTGAACTCAAGTAGAAATTGTACATACAAGCCATTGCTAAAGGTACAGGTAAAATGGTCAGCTCCCTGTACCACTCCAGACTCCACATGTTATCCTCTACCAGAGCCAAGTCAGGACAAGAATGGAGTACTGTCATCATATTTGGGTGGGAGCTGCCCAGACCACACTTTCCAGCCTCAATAGTGTCCCCAAACATCTGAGTCCTTGGGGGTGACAAATTATTTTTCACGCTCCACTCACTCACAGGCAGGATGTGGCTAGCCTCTTGCTGCTCTTTCATTATTTTCATGGAAAGTGATCAAATAAACTACATTCTTTGGTTCTGCTAGACCTCACCTTCACGGCAAGGACCCGCCATGCTACTTACATTGTAGCAAGCCAACCACATTCCCATCGGTTTTCCATCAGTGAGAATTAAATTCCACTTGAACAGCTTCTTCCCATGAATTTCTGCTTTGTGGAATTGTTGTGGAGTAAATAACACACCCTCAGTAACCCAAATGAACTAGGCAAGACACCTTAAATAAAGAAAAAGTGAGTCAGTGTAGTCCGTTGGAGTCAGTCAGGAGAATTTGTCACAGCAAGTAGCCTAAGCAAAATACAATATTATAACTACTAAGGGTAAGTTATAACAGAAACTGACTCTCAAGAAGATGTTTCCCTTATCACTACACTCTTAACCTGTTCAAGTGTAGAGCTAACTATTACCTTCCTCTGCCTCCTAAAAGATGAAGAAGGGAATTGACACAACAGAAATGTGGTTTTACAGAAGGATGTTGATAATGCCATTGAGTAACAAGGAAGGGAAAATGGAAACCTAAAGGACACTTAGAATCAGAGAGAGAGAGAGAGAGACAATTTAAATTTCTAGCTTACATAATAAGGAAATAGTGCTTGGAAAATATGATACTCACAGGACATATTGAAGGCAAGAGGGAGAGAGGAAAGTAATGAATAACCTGCTTAACAAGCTTGTGCAGGGCTAGGATAAGGAGAGATAGCAAGAAGACAAACCTTGCTAAAAGCTACAAAGGGCAGAAAGTTGGGAAGAGGCCAAGATTACCATTGTCCTGAAGGGACACACCACATAGAAGATTGCTATAAAGTTTACCTGACTCTTTGACATGTGAATAGAACTGAATCAGTATGCTTTGAATTGTATTTTTTAGGATCAGATTGAGCATCCAACCTTATGACCATATATAAGTTGAAACTTTACTATATAAGAGATTTTTGAATATAAACTACTTTATATATAAAATTTATGTGCAAGACTTGAATGTAGATTTTTTTGTACTTTGGGTTCAGATAAGCTGTCAAATGTTTCATTTCAGTACAACTTATAAAAGAAAATAATGAAATGAGAAAAATTTTCCCTATTTCTTGTGTTAATTTTTTCTTTCGCATTTGATTTTTGTCTAATCACTGTTTTTCTATCTGGATTTACACTTCAAAATATTGTCTTTTTTGTCTGTATTTTTTTCAGCTTTTCTTCTGTTTTAACTGATTGCTGTATGTTTTCCCCTAGTCCCTCTCTTGTCAATGGCTTCTATTTGCCTTTTGGTTTCTATTTTTGCAATGCTTTACAAGAAATTGTTTTATTGAATATATTATTGTCAAACATCAGGCATTGATAATGATTCCAGTTGACAGCCAGGCATTACTAAAAATTGGAGTAAAACTAAACTCAATTCAACATAAAAGAAACAAATTACTCAGGAAATGAATACTGTATTATGTTAATTGCAATTGCACCATAAACAAAATCAACTATAATCAATTGTTCCACTGTTTCCATCAGAGCATTCACCATTTGGTCGATAGTACGGTAAATAGAAATATTTTTAGCAATACGATACTTCAGAATGAGCATGAGAAATCATTTTCTTTATTGGTAGAAACTAGTAAATGTATTTGTGCATAAAAGTAGATTCTTTTTCCATGTTCTGTATCCCTCCAGGTCATGAGCAATAATGTCTCTCCATGACTTCCAATCATTTGTAGCTCTTAGTAAGGTTTGTCTTTTTGCTATCCTTCTTAATTTATGTCCTACCAAACATTTATACAAGCTTGTCATTAGGTAGGATATCCGTCATGCTTTCAATGTCCTGTAAGTATCAAACACTACAAGCCCTCTTTCTTCATCATGAATCCTAGACATTCTGGTATACTGTTTAATTATTATTAGTATCATACATACATAGACCACATTAACATGATGCAAACAAAGATAAGGGCAATAGTTAAAAAATAAATCACCAACTGAAATCTACTTCTTATACTGATTATACATTTGACATATAGATAATTATTTTCATGATTACTCAATCCTGTTTCTTTCAATATAAAAGTCTCTATTGAAAACTTATATGCAGAACTTGCCTTTTTGCTGATTTAATATTTTCTTAATTGGCTAAATATCTGATTTTAAAGTACTGAAAGTCTTTTTTTGACTGACTGTTTTCTATGGCTTATGAACTCCTAGGTTATTTAAAGTCAAAAAATATTTTTAGGTTGTAAGAATTCTTGAGATAATAGTTTTTAGTGATACAAATCTTAATAATTAACCTATAGTTGGAGGGAAGAGGTGGAACCATACCTAATCAGAAGTCAATAAACAAACAAGAAATTATAATGTGGATATAAAGTGGAGGATCAATTTCATATTTCAATCAATATATAAACTGATCCCTTACTTTGTGGCCATGGTAGTTTCTACATTTATATTCCAGAAAATGTAAATAGAACTAAAAGACCTGCCTGTGGAGTTAATCAGTATTCCATTGATTAACTGATGATTTTTTTCTACAGCTTATCAACTCTTTGCAGGTTATTTAAAGCCAAAAATGTTTTTAGATTGTATTTTTTTTTTTTTTGAGATAATGATTTTAGTGATACAATTAACCCATATTTTCAATAGTATTATTCACAAATTTATATATTGTAATTGTTACTATTTACAATTTGAGTATCATCCCAGAAATTCAGACAGGTAATAGTAATTAGCCATTTCCTTACAAGGAAACATTTGGCATTTATTGACCAAAGAGCATTACTATTAGTTGAAATTTATGAAATCTTTCTCATAAAACAGTTTTTCAGGAAAATAGGTTTCTCAAGTCCACTGTTATTGCTCTTTCTACTTTTGATGGGGCTTCCTTCCTAACCTGTTTAATGTAGTATTGAAAGTCAACATATTATGTCATTATTTTTTATCTTCAAGTTATATGTGTTATCCATTTTAGTTGTTGCTGCTGCTGCTAGAAGTCTTTAAGTGATGTGTGTTTTGTTATTTGCTGAAGTGCTTTGTTTCTTAAATTTCAAGGTAAAAAAAATAAAATAAGTGAAATCACCAAGAAATTGAAACATTATATAATAAAACATACAAGCAATGCTACTGTATATAATTTTACACAAACACATAACATACCAGAGGATACTGAAAAGTTCTCAGCTTGAGTCACCTCCCAAAATCTGACTAAAGTGATCAAACACTAGAATTTATTTTGAATCTCTTCTTTGTTATGCTGAGAACTTTTCAATACTACATCATATATACAGTGGAAATTGTAGAAACATTTTGTTTTTCAAATAAAACTGAAAAAGCCAAGCAATGAGAGCAAGTGAAGCCTCATTACATCAGACAAAATAATAAAAGCATAATAGCAGAAATATTGATTGACATTACAACAAAAGGTATATAGAATAAAAATCTTTCAAGACAACCATAATCAAAATAACAAAAAGCTTTTAAGAGAAAGACATTTAAAAAATAAAATAAAATAATACATCATTTAGAAAGAAAAAATCTGCAATTTTATTGGTCCTGACCTGGCAATCTTGACATCAGTCACTTTCTCACTGCTGTAATACGGCTTCCCTGTGTTTCTCTATAAATACTTTTATGGTAATTATTCTAATGAACTTTCTTCTTTAATACCTAGACTTTATGAATTTAAGTGCAGTACTAGATTAGCAACAAGGTCTCATCAATTTACAATCCAATTGGCTAGATGTAACCATAAATTCTTTGCTAACAATTTCTTTCCTTTCACTTCTCATTTGTAGAACTCTTCCAACTTCTTGCTTTTCAGTCAACTTTGATCTTCAAAAATTTAAATGTAATGTCAATCATTATATCTGGTCTTCTTAATTCCTGCACTTTTATTGTTCTCTCTCTTCATAATGTTTTCTTTTTCTCATTCTCTCATGATCCATAATCCCTTGAGTCTGAGTGACCTTATTGTCTTGTTTGGGGTGAAGTTATTAAAAAAGAAAAAAGTTAACAGTTAATCACAGTAGAAAATCAAGACAGTCTTTTTATGTGAATGATTATAAAAATATAATAAAAATCATAATTAAAACATGCCAGAAGACAAAAATAAATATAAAATGACAACCTATATATATCTAATTATAGCCAATACAACCTATAAGGATGTTTATTAAAATTAAATATATATAGTAACAGTAGTGCCAAAGTTAAGTTAGTTTATCAACCTATTAGTTTGTAACCATATTGTAAACATAACTTCAAATATTCATGAAAATTTCATGGCTTTTTAATTTTAATTTATCTTAATTTAATCCTTGAATAAGCTCCTTGCAAGTTCCACTGATCACATTGATAAATTTCAGATTTTTTTTTTCATATTGGAAAGGCATCTTGGTTAGGTTGAGAACTTTTTCAGTACTTTGTGCACAATTTTGATCTATCTGGAAGTTTCATATCTCAATTTTGAACTAACACACTTTTATTTAGCATTCTTAAAACATTGAATATTTTTGGAAATCTTCTGCATCTATAAGGACAGATTTTAACATTTAAAATTTACAAATGAGGTTATTTTCAATAAGATTAGATCTGAATTTCAATTGAAAAAGTTAAATCCAATTTGAATATACCTTTTAATGACAGAATTTTAATAAATTTGGTGACATTTGCTGATCAGATATTAAAAAAAAATTAGTTTCTTTTCTTTAAATGTAAAAATATTTCTGTGATTATCCAATATCAATTTAATAAAAGAAACAAATTGAAATTGAAATATTTTTCTGGTTTATTAAATAACTGATCAATATTTTAAAACAGAAATTAGAGAAAAAAAAATTTTAAATTTTATTTAATCCAAAAATTAATTTTTTTCGAGATATTTTAGGCTCTTTGTCTGAATAGATAACCCACCATCTTTAATAATAGTAGTGTTATAGAGTAGTTTCACAGCGGAGGCTTGTATTTCACTAAGTCATTCCTAAAATAGGTTCAACGTACAAAACGTTAGGAACTTGATATAACAGTTAATGACGCAGAAATCTAGTTGTGGTGGCTGATACTACTACTTATTATAGATGGGTGAGTCTATTAACTATAGAATAGGTGTGTTCCAGTATAACAAGTAGCAACAGTAAAACTCTATGAAGAATATAACAGTTACACACATTTTCATACATTATAATGACTATTAGGCAACTAGCCTAGGAGAAGGAAAACTAAGTTAAAAACCAACCTGACAGAGCTCATCCCCCTTCATGCTATCTTGCCTGAGACATACTACTGCTGCAGTACATGTGGTACCACTTTGACCTTAATGGGTTACAAGGATGCATAATGTAGTCATATAGAATTAGAATATTTTGGGATCACTTCTGAGAACTTTTCATGATTACCTCATAAATACAGATATATAGGGAATTTATTGATTTTTAAAAAAAAAAAAAAAAAAAAAACCTGAAAAAGCCGATCAATGAGAGCAAGTGAAGTCTCATTACATCAGACAAAATAATAGAAACATTAGTAAATGAAACATAATGCAGCTATTTGATACTTGGGCAACTAACAATTAAATGAAAATTATAAGTTCAACTAGTAAAATAAATCAGCAAGAGTTAAACAAGAAAAAACTCATCATACAATCATTATGTTAAACAGATAGAGTTAATGATAAAAGTGAGATTAACCAATATGAAGGATGAGATTAATCATTTCCATACAAGAAATTAGCCAAAATTGTAGCCTTTATATTTTTTTTTCCTAAGCTTAGTTTAATAGAAGACTGTAATAATGGAACACACAGAGAGAAGCAAACTCATAGCAATGGCTTGCAAAACTAGCATATGCACCAATACTCCATGACAAATGCCTATAGATATTTATTAAGCATAACTTATTGGAGTCTCCATGAGGATTTTCTTCTTTTTTTTAAAATTATTTCACCCTGTAGAGTGGAAATGGAAGGTCTCATTAGATAATGGGGACTTCCACTGGAGGATATAAGTTACCTCCTTTGGTGTTAAATAAACAGTTGAGTGGCCAGTTACTAAGTGCTTTTTTGTATTTGTATCTCATAGGTACAATAATGAAGTAATTCAGAATTACTACTACCATTGTCATAGTGGTTATTTTACATGGCACTGCAAATAAGATCTAGTGAATATGTGGAACTATCTTAACAAAATAAGACATGGCACCCAATGTGGGGCATAACCTAAATACCCTGAGTAATGAACCAGAAGAAATGATAATTGATGACACTGCAGATTCAGTAGACCCAGTACAAAATAATATTGGAGAACATCAATATCAGGTGATATCAGCCCCAAGTAAGCGTCCATGTCAAAATATGTGAGCACCTTGAATTCTATCCACACAAATGTGAGGACAATTGCACACATTCTGTGGCAAAAGTTCAAGTGACCACATCAATCTGTCTTGTGGTCAGGGGCATGTAGAGTAGAAATGGAAGGTCTCATTAGACTTCCACAGGTAAACACTAGAAGTCATGTTACTTCCTCCAATGTTATATAAACAGTTGAGTGGCCAGAGGCCAAGTGTTTTTTGTTTTTTTGTATTTGTATCTCATTGGTATGAGAATAAAGTAATTCGGAATTACTATGACTATTGTTGCTGTGGCTATTTTACACACATCAAGCAGGGCAACAAAGCCACTAATATGCAGGGAGTTACTGATTATAAAAGAATATGAGAAAACCATAAGGAGTAATAAAAATAAAAGAACAGAAATTAAGACAGAAGGTAACAATTAACATTGCATTTAAATTTTTGAAGATCAAACTTTATTGGAAAGTAAGAAGCCAAAAAAGAGTTCCACAAGCAAGAAGTGCAGGAAAAGAAACTATTAGCATAGAATTTGGTAACATCTAGCCATTTCTACTGTAAAATGGCAAGACCTTGCTGACAATCTAGTATTGCACTTAAATTCATCAAGTCTAGGTACCATAGAGGAAAGGTCATCTAAACAATTATCATGAAAGTATTTATAGAAAAGGTACAGGGAAGCTATGTTATTGCAGAAGGTAAATGACTGAAGCCAAGATGACATTGCAGATTCTTCTTTGGATTTTATCAAAGATCTCTAAATATATAGCAGGAGCACCAGACCATATTGAGTAGCAATTTTTTTTCAGCCTATGCCAAGTACTCTCAACATTGATTGGTAGTAAAAAATAATCTTAGTCAATAATTGATAATTTAGTCTTCAAAAAAGAAAAAAAGAAAAGAAAAAAAGAAAAGAAAAAAGCAATAGATCATACCATATCTATTGGTAGCAATATAACCAGAACAAATACAGCAAAAGTAATAATTATTATATTAACAGTAAATAATAATTAACATTATTACAAACAGAAGTCAGACAACATGCAGTAGTAAAATCAAAAACAGTGATCAGAGTCTAAAAACATGCAACATCAGTAGAAGTAGTTATAGAGAACATGGCATGACCATGCGGTAGCAGTGCAATAACAGAATACAAGTGACCATAAAACGACCAAGGGTCAAGCAGGAACCAAAACAGCAATGCACCAAAAGAAGGGCAAACCCATGTTGATAACTGGAAGCAGTGGTGCCACTCACAGACTTAAGTTGGTTGATCTCACACTGCAGGGCATCTTTTAGACTATCCTGCTGCGAGAGGGCAGCCATCTTCTGAAGTTCTCGCTCTTCAATAGCCAGTTTCATTTCTTCCTGGTTCTCCTGCAGCTGGCGACGAACTTCTTCCTCCTTTTGACGTTGCCACAATTCATGTTCTTTGTCCTAGCACAACACACAACGGGAAGACATTTTACAACACATGTACACACACACACACACACACTCACACAATGAAGCATTTGTACACACACACAAAGTTAAAGGCAGTGTTTGCGTGATTAAAATTCTAGCCAAATCAAGATTGTTCACTCCTTCTATGACACAAATTAATAATACCATGCATTTATTTATTACATTAGAAGAATAATGGAATGAAACCTTTCAGGATAAATCATCTGGTTGGTCTGAGAACTTTGCCATCATCTCTTTCCCAGAGGATGCTTACCATTGTTTTATTGAAATAAGAACTAGTGAGTTGAGCAACATAAAACATTTCTATTAAAATAATGTTGCACATACCCATCCCCAAAAGAAATAAAACTCACCAAATACCATTTCTGTTCCTCATAAATTTCATAATTTATATTTAGTTTCCCTAGTTTGGTCAACTAATTTCATCATTACACAATAACACTTCTGTTACTGTGAATGTACCTATACATCCTTATGAAACTTATAGTGCCTGCAGTTTATATATGAATAAAGCTCAAATGAAAACTATTCTTTACCAATGAGTTTTATCTTCTGATGGACTTTATCAAGGCAAAGGTAAGGGTTTAACTTTGCGACCTGTATTTATAAACAGAAATAAAAAATATTGCTAGGTTTTCAAAATTTTTAAATTTAAAACACTCAAAAAATATTCCTAAGGCTAATTGCAAAAGTCAAGGTAAACTATGGAGGATGCCAAGTAATATATTTTAAAAGAAAGTGAGTAAATGTTATTGTTGTTTAATTTTTTCTTATTAGTTTATATGTATATATTATATTTATTATTTATTTTAATTTTATAAATTATTTATGCATTTATTTATTTTAAATAAGAGACAGTTTCAATTTAACTGTTTTCTATTCATTTTTGAAAATTTTTATGGTCATGTATGTTGGTTTGGGAAAGGAATATTTCTTTTAAAAAAGGAGCTCTTTGAAAAAAAAAAATACATTGCACAGGTTTATATTTTGGCCAGATTCATTAGCAGTACTCTTTCCTTCTGTCTTTATTCACATTGTCTTTTTACAGATATATTTTTCTTTTATTTATATCTGAATTTTCAACCACACATGCACATATACATTGTTCAAGACACTGGGAAATATTGGTCCCTAGTGTTTGTATTATAAACTAACTAGTCCTTAGTGTTATTTCCAAACTAGGATTAATAATAGTGTACATTACAACCTGCTTATGACATATTTTTGTTGTGTGTTTGGGGCATTGTTTAGCTTAATTCACAATATGGACTATCAGATTGAAACCAAAACTGAAGTACCCCCAAGAAATTGCCACCAGCTTCTTTGCAGTACAGCCAGGTAAGAATGCTATAGCATTTCAGCTGTAAAAGTGTTAATAATATCAAATCTTTTGTGGTTTACTGGAGAGAAATCATTATCAAAATTTTTCAAACCAAATGAACTGACTACTTCTAAAAGACCTCATTCCTAGAATTGAGTTTTCTAGCAATAAGAGAGATAGTGATAGGTTATGGAGAGAGAAAAGAATGCACAAATTCACTCAGTTAATCAAAGAGTATACAGGGCAACATCAATGTTGGAATCAAATGATATAGTAAATGTGAATAAGTAAAGAGTTTCTGTTCAAAGCAGACAATGATTTCATCAATATTTGGTCTGCGCAATATTTTAGGTATAATTTAAAAAGAGGGTAAAGAAAATAACAGATTTGTCTTTCCTGAATGACACATTGTCATGATTAATTTAGCTGTTTTTTTATCTTATTTTTGTTTTCTGAATAATAATAATAATAATAAGAAGAAGAATAAAGATAGTTTTTTTCAGTTATCTTGTTGTTAGAGTTATTAATTTTTACTAATTTTCCTCAAATCGTATTTTTGTTGTTTTTCATTGCAATACTCAGATTGATTTCACACTCTACAACCATTAGGCATGCAACATGGATTAGAAAATAAAGTAAAACAAGTTCAAATCTTGTCAGAAGCTCATACTTTATTTCCTAATCTATGCCATTTTGTTGGTTTCAATGTAGTTAGAATGACTAATAAATCCCACCCCCCTCACCAAATTTATAGACAAATCATACAGATGCATGTTGGGATTTCCTCTTAGCCAATAAGATAGGCCACTTCTTGGTCTCATCCACCATACTCTTGTTCTTTTTTTTTTGTCTTGAAATCAGAATGTTACAATCACTTGTCTGTTAACACTATTCTTAGTTTGTGAACTTTTTTCCCTAATTACTGTTGCTTTACCTACTTTTGTCTTGATATATATATATATATATATATATATATATATATATATATATTGTCTGCTTAATATTATCTTTGACCTGTTCTTTTCTTTACTATTGTTTATTGAAAACTTTGACAATTTTGTTTGCTAGACATTTCTGTCAATTACATTTAACCATGGCCAATTACACTACACATTTACTTGGCAGTCTTAGAGTATAAAAACAACCTAAGAGTTGTGATGAAAACAAAAAAAAAATACAAACTATTGTCAAAAATTAATAAAGAAAGATATTTCTGAGAGTAAAAAATATAGTACTTTTCGACAACTACTTTCAGAACAGTGTTTAAACTAAATATTTTATACATAAATAGCCATTTCCTTTTTTTTTAATTTCTCAATTATGATTATTATCTTTGGAATAAATAAAATTTTAATTTTATTGACCTCCAAATATATTATTAATACTGTACATAATAATAATAAAGTATAAAGCAAAACATTTCTATGCTATGTCTGTTTTTCAAACAGAACTAATAAACAGGAAAGTAAGGAAATTAAAAGGAAAAAACCAACAACAGGAAATTAAAAGAAGATAATGATAAGAATAAGGAAGCAAAATAGAGAGACAAGAAAAAACAGTGTGCGTAATGTATTTGAGGAAATATGATTGTGTGTCTGCAGTTATGTTATAATTAATGTGCTTTCAACTTTTCAGAATATCAGTGGCAGACTATCAGCTAACACTTGAGATGAAACGATATGCTGTAATTGTTGCAATACATGCAAAGCACAGCAATGTTGAGATTGCACATATTTTGGAAGTCTTTTGTGCACAAAGTTCAGGAGTTGGAAGCCTCCAGCAGGTATATGTTGCCTCTAACATAAAGCAAAAAGAATTCACTGCATTCAGACAGTATCAGGACACCACAATTCATATAGCAGGTTCAGAATTTTATCGATGCAAATCCCGGAATGTCCACAAGAGCCATTGCCAGATAACTTCAGGTGCCCAAGGACAAAATCTCCAATGTGGTGCATGAGGATATTTAGTAACGAGGTAACATGATGAGGAAAAGGATGTTCATGTTGGTACAACCAGAAGAACAATGACTGCTCTGTGTAAAACAATTACTGAACAAATTGAACATCCAGAACAACCTGGCGAAAAATCTCGACCTGGATCAAAAGGTGAACCAGAAAATTGACAGGTGTTTATGTAGACCCTTTGATGTCCCTCAATTTTCCCCCTCCTATAATGGTTTTAGAGGTGGTGAGTAGTGAAGGACATGTCATACCATCCTACTTCTTTCAACAAGGTTTTCAATTGAATGCTGCTGTCTTCACTGAGGTGCTGGAAACAATTATGAAACCCTGGATGAACCTTGCATACAGTGGATGCCTGTATATGTTTCAGCAGGACTCTGTACCTACTCACAAAGCTGTAGTAGCCCAAGATTGAATTGCAGCCTATCTGCCCAAAACATGTGACCACCTTACTCCAGACAAATACCCTTGACTATTAAATATGGGAGATTAATCAACATTCTCATAATATGACTGATTCCCTGAAAGTTGACCTTACCTGAGTAATGTTCAATATCAATACAGACCATGTGATGCATGCATGTCAATCATTCTGGTCTAGCATTGAAGCCATCATTGTAGTTGAAAGCTGTTTTTTTTTTTGTTTTTTTTTACTGTAAGGTTCCCCCTGTACAAGCCCTGGAGGGTGAGAGCACTCGAGGTAGAAGATTATGTTAGGGCATAGTTTATATAGATAGGAATGGAAGATAATGGTTAACTCTAGAGTTGAACAATTTAAGATTGTAGTGACTCTTGGGGAACATCCTCTTGGGAGTCTGTTTCATAGGTTAATGGTTAGTGGAAAGAAACTGTTTGAGTGGAACTTACTTCTCACCAATGGAATACGGAGGGAATGTGGGTGGTTTGCTACTATGTAAGTGGTTTGCATGGTGGAAGGTTAGAACTGGCAGAACCAAGAAATGTAGTTCATCCAATCATTTTCCATAGTAGTAGCGATTCACATCCTGCCTGACAGAGGTTGGAGAGTGGAAAATAATTCTTCTCCAACAAGGACTCGGAGATGCTTTTAAACTCTATCAAGACTGGAAATTGAGGATTTGGTTACATCAAATCCAACCACTACTGCATCTGTGTTCAATGTTTTGTATTAATAAATTTTGTTGTGTTAAGATATGGTTGTTTTTTGTTTTTTTTATGGTCTTCAATATGTCCTCAAATATCTTACACCCTTTGTACTTTGATGAGAAGGTAAAGAAAAGAATTAAATGTGAATAAAAGACAAGACAGATTGTGAAAGAGATGACATGAGAAAGAATATATCCAATTTTATAATAAAATCTCATAACATTGTCATTTAAAATTGATATTATATCCATTTTACTATGATACATTTTTTTTAAATCATCAGGTTTAATAAATTTAGAGTTTCTACTGAAAAATGAATCAAAATTTTCTGTAATTTAAAAGGTATTTAACAGTTTCTTGTTTAATATAAAGAATAAACAGGAAAGAATGAGCAGGTTCAACCCTTTTGATATGTTTGTTATGAGATTGTGAAGAAAACTGAATATTTTTTAAAATACAGACATGCTAAATGAGAAAATTATTTGTACCAAAAATGACTAATGAAAACAGATGGGTAGATTAGATTTTATATTGTAAGTCAATATTTTCATAATAAAATTGGTATTAATCAACAAATGTTGGTAAAAGCTTCAGGATATAACTATATGAGTTTCAGCTTATAATACCTGTATTTATTAGAAATTTTTTCAACAATTCATTTGGTAGTGTGGTATTTTATTATGCAATTTAAAAATTGGCCAAGATATTGTAAATAAATATATATAATAGTAGAATTATCAATATTTATTTTTATAATTTCATATATTTAAAGATAGAGTAAGAAAGTTATAACTGCAAAAAGGAAACAAAATATTGTAAAGTTATTGAGTGATGGGAACAGGTATATGAAAATTGCCATGGGTCATAAGAAAAACATGCAATCAAAAGAGAAATAAGATATTGTAAAGTGATGAGAGAAATGTAGAAAGAAATTTAAAACAAGAACAAAATTTTAAAAAATGGTTTTTAAATTGTCACAAAACTATCTGAGAAAATTACATAAATTAAAATAAGCAAGAAAGTCAAAATTATCTGAAGCTGGTGCTGCAAATGTAAACAGAGAAAAGATGAAGAATATTAAGGTCATTGGCTAAAGAGAAAATGTAACCAAACTACCACCATTTAAGTAGGTAACTCCACTTTTTTGCAGAAAAAAAAAAAACAGGATGGCATGATGAAAAAAAGACCCCAAACTCAATAAAAACAAAGTTTTGTCATCAAAATGTTTGTTATTATTAAGAGGAAAGACCAAAACATTTTTTTTTATTATTTTTTGAAATTTTTTAATCCTTTCTAACATGTTCGAAATTTTGATTAAAAATATCTTGTTTTGTTTATGTCAGCAGTTGACATAGTGATAATAATTATCCTTTTTTTTTTGTGATTTTTCTGGTGAAAAACACAGACTTGGAAATTCTTGCAAAAATAAATAATTGTCAGATTTTAATGAAACTTTCAGGACATATTCAGAAATGAATTAAATTATTTTTGAAATTTAAAATTTTTTTTTTTTTTTAGAAAATCTTGGTAAAAAATATATTTTTTGCATATGTTACCACCCAATTACTTAGTTTCATGAAATTTTGAGAAAATCAATTTTGTGGATAGGGATTTTTTTTTACTACTTAAAAGCAGGACTCTTTGGAGAAAGTAAATCATCAATTTTTTTTTTTTTTGTAAAACAGTTATCCCTTTCACCAAAAATCTGCTCTGAATTGTAAAATAAAAAAGTCAATAAAACTGACATTATTTAATTAGAAAAGTTTTTAATTACTTTGATAAATAAGATTATTAAGGACACTACTGTCTTGAGAAGAAAATTTTTTTGATGAATAATTAATTTTTACAAAATTATTTAAAATTCTGCATTGCTTCAAGCCAGAAGTTTGGTGATATTGTTATTAAGTGAAAAGTACATTTACAAATCAAAAATTGAAAAGCTCATAACAGTTGTTTGCACCCAAATATTTAAAAAAGAAATTTTTAGTGTATAAACATTTCCAATTTCTAACTATGGTAAGCCATAAATGATATAATCCTTTAAAAAGGTTAAATGATTTAAGAGCTGTCTGGTGCTCTGCAATTCTTTCAATTTCATTATTCAGTTCTGTTTCATCATTAATGTCTTTGCAAATCATCCCTTCAAAATTTCAAAGTAAGTTTTAGTTTTTTTAATTACTATTTCACTAAATATTTTTATTTTATGTATTTATTTTAGTTTAGTCAATTAAGTAATTTTTTGTTTAAGTTAGTAAACTTAAGAACCTAGAGACAAAACCCAAATTTCATAGAGCATCTTGAAACACAACTAAAAGTCAATAAAACATTAAATAATTGCTGAAAATCTGTTAATTTGTAAAAATTATGAGGTAGTTACCCCCAACCACCAAAAAAAAAAAAAAAAAAAAAAAATATGTTCACTTAGATTTTGTAAATTTATGTCAATTTTGGTCATCCATACTAGTTGTCATCACTTCAGAACTTATTAATATGTCAATAAAGATAAAAAGAAAAACAGGATCTGTCATTAAATGCTTGTATATTACTTTTTTTATGCTATAAGTAAGTAATATTTATTTCAAATCAGATTAATTTAACTTTGCTAATTTTACTCAGATATGTCACAAATATATATTTTATTTTTGGAAGATTTTTAAAACCAATAATTTTGTTTTGTTTACAAATTTCTTAAAATTAAGAAAATGGCTGCTTTTAAGAAAGTTTTCTGAAATCAGCTAAAATGTTGAGATTCCGATCTATATCATTTGAAATAAACCAGAATGTTTTACTTACTGGAAATAGTAAATTTAATCATTTAGCTTTCAATTAAAGCTAAAATGAAATCTTCAAGAATGCTTTTTCATTTTTTAAAATCCATTTTACATCTCAGGTATCAAAAATTCAGTGGATATACCAACTTTTAAGTAAATATCACAAAGAGAATCAAGTTGGTCAAAAAAGAACATGATTGATTGCTTTGTTTTTACAGTTTATCAACATTGTGCTGGTTATTTAAAGCCAGAAAATAGTTTCAGACTTTGAGAATTTTTTTTGAGATAATAAGGATTTACTGACAAGTCATACTAATTAATCCATAACTAGGGGAGAAGAAATGAATTCATACTTTTTCCAAGAGTATTTGTGCATAAGTAAATATAACAAACCCAACCAGAATTGGAACTCAGCTAATTTCTAATTACAAGCCATTATCCATTACACCAAACAGCACTTGGTATTCCCAAGTGGTCACCCATATAGGTAGTGACCAGACTCACTGTTGCTTAACTTTGATGATGTACGAGAGCTGGTGTGTCAATGTGATATGGCTATAAGCCAACAAAACAATTGATTTCTCAGTAATTTATAGTGATGAATGTAGAGTTACAGTGGATGGACCTGATGGCAGGGCTAGAGTTTGGGTCCTTCATAGAAATAATCAACCAACACAACTTTGAAGACAACAGTTGAGATAGTGCAAGTTTTAGTATGGTATTGTAGGCAGTAAAAATTATAGGTTCCTTCAAAGTTGATGAATATCAAAACAAATGCAAAGAATAATTATAAATTCTTGGACAAGGTATTGTTTTGAATGATACAGGTAAAAAAATCAAGAAACTTGATCCATCATTGAAAAAGATGGTTATGAAAATGGAAAACAGTATTCAAGCAAAGAAGATATCTGGGATGAATTGAAAACTGTAGCAAATAATATTAAAGTTGAAACAATAAAAAAATTAATAAAATCATTAACTGAAAAACTGATGAGGGTTATATAATGCTAATGAGCTCATATTAACATAATTTATATGAGTATATTTGATATTATGTTAAACAAGAAACAGGTCCATTGAAAAACCTCATATCCACCATCAAGAAGAGAAAGTTGAAATGATATGGTTATAGCCTAAGAACTAACAATTTTTCCGCTGCCATCCCAAGGGTACCACTTTAGGCAAAAAAGAGGTAGACAGAGGAAAAAAAAATGGGCCTGACATCATCACTGATGAAACTTGAAGATAATTCAAAAAGACAATGGCATGCAACCAAGACACATGGAGGGAACTGGTCAGATGCTCACAGCTGCACAATGACCTTATGACTATACCCAATTATGGGAGTGATGATATTGTACTAATCATGTTTCTATGGCCTATACCTTTTGGATTCATATATAAATAAAAATTTATTTTGCAGTTGGTTTGTTTACATTATAAAACTTAACCTCCTTGAAACATAAATTAAATCATGATGTTTCAAGCTGAAAATCATAGAATGATGCTCATATTAATATATCCTTAAAAATTTACCAACATCAGTTGGATAATATAAATTTTATTGAGAATATCAACTTGCATAATAAAATCTGACAGTATATGATTAAAGCAAGCATTAGTCAGGCTTTTTGTGCATAATTGTTATTTTGAGAACATTCTCATCTTATATAGCAACACAACATTTACCCATCTAAGCAATCGTATTATGAAAGTCAGTCACACCAAAGACAAGTATAGCTGAGATAAAAAAAATACATAAATATTAGAGAAAGATGTAAACTATGTATCCATCTCCTCTGTGGCTTTACTTATTCAGGTTTCTGTGCTATCAATCATATTACCATTAATAGAAAAATAGAAAAAAAAAATTGCTTTCCTTGACCACTAACTGGTGTTTTCTCTGACACTCAGTTCAGTATTAAACAATGATATAACTTGAAGCCACTGATATGGGGAGTGGGGAATCAGCCCCAAGATCAGTGAGGAAAAAAAAAAAAAAAAAAAAAAAAATCAAAGCTGGACATTTGTCCAGTTACAATATCCACCCCCACCAACCATCCAAAAATTGCAACTCACTTTTGCAGTGAGGGCTTCTCGGTGCGCTGATTCCATGTGAAGGAGTCGATCCCGCCACACTTGTTCCTTCTCTTCTACAGCCACTTTGACTCTTTCTTCCACTGTCTTTTCCATTTCTTTCTGTTAGAGAAAACAAAAGAAGTTTTAAAATTATATGCTGATTGTAAATTTTAATAAACACTAGAATGAATAGATTCTTGTTTTATTTCAATCGATGTCTTTACTCCAAGTAGGAAACTAATATTTTATACAGATCTACTATTTATACCATCCACTACTTTACAATGACAATACAAATAGTTCCTGAGCAGAAACTATGGGAATAATTATGTAGGGATACAAAAGTCGATTACCTCCCTTTGGTTCATGTTATTGCCGTTTAGTGATATCACTTCAGTCATGAAAGCAGTCAGTCAGTCAGCTTCCAGGAGTCGAACTGAGCAGTTGCTTTTTTAGCCCAGGTCCCTCTGCCTCTCCAAGCTACATGGTACAGCTAACAAGCCTATGGCACCATTTTTCTCTGGAAATATATCTTCATCAGATATAAAAAATATGTTTGGCTCACAGTCCTCAATTTGAGAAAAACCCAGGACTTGCTTTTTCCCATTTGCAGAATATATTTGCAACAACATCATAGCAGATAAATCTGGCCCACTCAAATCTGAAATCCTAAATATGACTTCTCCAGAAACACAGAGGAATCTCTGGCAGTTCCAGTTTTCCTTGAAAATTATACACAAAACTCTTTTCATTCTCTTTTCACACTGCTTGTTGTTGCATATATGTTATATTTTCTCTGCATGAGACACATGTAAATCTGTATATGCAATTTTGTGTATGACTTAGTGGCATAAAATTCTCTCTGAGAATGAAGTATTTTTGTCATTCCCATTCCTTTCAGTCATTCTGTTCTGTCCAGGATATAAGGTGTTGTTATATCATGGATATAATAATGCTCATAATGGAAGAAATGCAAAAGGGAGAATAAATCTTTCTTCTATAACTCAACTATAATCTGGTGATATCCTCGACACAACACAATATAATTTAGCCTCCATAGTTATCTATAAGGCTATCAGTATGTGTTATCTTCATGACTAGAGTTCATTATCACATTCTTCATCTTGCTGTCACAATATATACATTACAATATAAAGATTTGTACTGAATTACAAATGTAGGTTAAAAACAAAGTTTTCTGCTATTTTTATTCCTCAAAAATACACAGAGCTAAAAACAACAGCATCAACATGAATTAGACATTAAAAAAAAAACAATAAGTGCATTCACATTCTCTCTCTCTCTCTCTCTCACACACACACACAGTTGAGAGATTACAACTTTAACCTCTGATATGAGCTTAAATTCACTCATTATGAAACCAAGTTAGAAATTATTAGTTATCAATATTAATATGAATCAAACTTTCAACTTCAGACTATACAAAATTATTTTAAGAAATTTTTTTATTATAAAGGACAATAAAGGAACAGGTTTCAGGAAGACAAGAGATGATGATTAATGTTGCATTTAAATTTTTGAAGATTGTAAGTGGCAGGGAAGCAAGAAATGAGTTCCATGGGCAAGAAGTGTGAGAAAAACAACTTATATGAATAGAATAGACAGTAAAATGGTGAAGCCTAGTTACCAATCTAGTAGCACACAAATCAATGTAGCTGAGGTGCCAAGGAGGAAAGCTCATCAGAACAATTGCCATGAAAATATTTGTAGAAAAGACGGAGGGAATCCACGTCATGTTGGTGAGAAAGTGACTGAAATCAAGATGTCAGGTCAGGATCAATTAGATTACAGACCCTTCTTTGAATTTTGTCAAGAAACTCAAGATATACAGCAGGAGTACCAGGCCAAATATGGCAGAAGTATTCAATGTTCAGATGAATGTTACATTTATAAATGTGCAGGATGGATTGTGGTGAATAAGAATTGTCTGGCACAATAGAGTGAACCAAATTTTCTAGGAGTAGACCTAGCAGTTGATTCAATATAATCACTCCATTTCATATCAGTAGAAAGCAAGAGCCCCAAGAAGTACAAAGAGTTACTCTAGTTAGCAGACAGAAAAGGTTCTCCATGGTGATTAAATGAAAGCAGTTTTGTTTTGGAGGCATTAAAATTTACAAGCCATTCTTTGTCTCAGTAAACCACTGATTGGAGCTCCTTTTCAAGAACAGTTTTACTTTGTTGAACTTGCTACAAAGACAGGAGTAAATAGTTGTGTTATCTTTATAAGTACTTAGTTGTGAACTGATGACATCAGCAATATCATTGAAGAAGTTAAAGTTAAGCTGACATATTTAACAATACAATATAGAAGTTTCATGGTTATTTTATAATTGTGGAACTCACAAGGAGCTTATTCTATCATTAAATTAATGATTGTGATTCATCAAATATCAGAAAACCATTACATTTTTACGGGTATTTTTACTTTTGATTAATGCATAAACTTCATGGTCTCAAGTTGAGTCTCCATGTAAATGTTAACACTCCAAGAATAATGTTAAAAACATGCTTGCTTGCTTGGTTCTTCTCCTCCTCCTCATTACTGAGGGTCAGGGACCATAGATAATTGCACCAATCCTCTCCACTATCTCCTCTCCCTTATCATGACCATGCACTCCACCAGTGTTCTCCCTGTTCAATCTCTGATGTCATCAGTCTAACATTGCCTTGGTTTCCCCTGATCTCCTGCCATTGATGCATTTCTGTATGGATGCATAGATTTTGGGCCCTGATAAGGCCAAAGTATTGCTGGTTCCACTTCCTTATGGTCGCGGCCAACTGACCTTCTGTTCCAATCTCTTCTAGAGCTGATTCATTTGTTTTGTGGTTCGCTCAGCTGATGCACTATGACCACATTTATCATGTCTTGAAAGACATCAATTTGTTAACATTGGCAGCCTTCAATTTTACAGATATACACTGCCACAAGCTACATTAAGGTCTCAAGAAGCATGAACTTAATCTTAAGAATATAGTTTCAGAGATAAAAATAAATAAATTAAAAATAATTAAAACTATACCTGAATAAGTGAAATTGCCAGAGCTTTTCCTCGTGATAATTCTTGGACAAGATTGGATTTCTCTTCCTCCATTGTTTTCTCTGCATGGCTTAGTTTTTCTTCTAATTCAGCCACTGCTTGTTTCTTTTCTTCTTTCAGCTGTTTGATAATTTCACGAGACTTTTCTAATTGTTCACTTCCTACAAAAGAGATAATAGCATGCAAAGAATAAAACACTTATTCTGTCAGTCTCTCAATTTTATTATTATTATTATTATAGAAATTACTACCCAAGAATTTGGAGAATTTGAACAGCATACATGAATTAAATACAGTATGGTCCTTTGACAGTACCCTTTGTAAGCTACCGAGCAAACTGCATGAGATTACCACAAAGAAGATAGCAGAAACTAAAAGTTAGGTAATATTCTTTGTTAAATTCGCTGAACTTTTGAGCAGTGCATATGAAATAAAGTGAATGATAGAATTGTCTGAAGATCACTCAAGATGTGAACCTAACATGATGCAGTGTTGATTCCTATGTCCACACTATATTTACAATATAGAAACAAGCACTCTTTCTCCATAAATACTGCAAATTTTACACACACATGTGTATGTGTGCATATGTATTTCTAAAGTCATGGATTTATTTATTTATTAATTAATCCAACAAATTTCATGGATGCAAAGTTTATTTATTAAACGGTATATATATTTATTTTTGTCTACCAGCTTTTCTCAAATATTCAGGCTGGTAGATGAAAGTAAAATATGCATAGACACACACATATATATATGTGAGAGCGAGAGACAAACAGAGTGAGTGTGCATGCACACATAGTACTCAACATTATATGGTGACTGTCAGTTTCAAACTTCAATGCAATCTTCATAAATTGTTGATTCCCATGTCCACAATGTTTATAGATATAAACACGATCTCTAATATTGAGTATTTTTTCCTCAATAAATATAAAAAATTTTAAATATGTATAATTTAAAAAAAATTCAGAACTGAAACTATATCTACTTTGTTGACATATTCATACTAACAACATAGACAAAGTAAAAAATCTGCTAACTTTGAATATTAGAAGCATTAAGCATAAAAAAACAACCTAACATCAATAAAATTATATTAAATTTAAGCGGAAAAATAATAATAATAAAAATTACATGAACATGGAGAAAATAATAGCTGAAAATGAAGAACCGACATAGTACTAAAAAAAAATCTTTGATAATGGCTAAAACATTGGCCAATTTATATCTAATTTATGTACTAAATTTATATATTGAAAAAAAAAAAAATTGATCCAAAAATAAAGAAAAAAAAAACAAAGAACTTTTGTTGGTTGATAACCAAACACACATTATATATATATATTATATATATATATGCTGTTATTTTATATTGAGCACTATTTTATTACCATCAGCACTTACTGTGTACTATTATATATATATATATATATATATATATATAATAATAGTACACATATAAAAAGCTCTTTTTAAAAGTATTTAAAATTGACCAGTCTTGTATACATTTTTATATACACACATATGGCACTAAGTCCTTAGCCTAATGATGAATAAAAAAACACTTATTTTACAAATCAAATATTTATTTTTCAACATCTGAGTATTCAAATGTGAATATCAATCACACAGATCAAACATTATACAGTCAGAATTTAAAATTAAAAGTCAACTAAGAACTATGTCAGGCTATAGTGTGACATGATACTACAATTTATATATTAAAGAAGAGAAGACTAATCTCATAGTTCAAAACTTTGTTTTTCTTCTTTTGTTCTTACTTTCTTCTTCATTCTAATACATGTGGGCGAATGGTGACAGTGAATAAATGTACTTCCCTATACCATAGTGACAGCAGTGGACAGATGCTTGATCTTTGATTTCATACATATCAACTCCATGGCAGAACATGTGACCATGAAGAGATGCCAAAATTAAAGAATCACCAGTTGGAAGATAATGGCCAAAAGAGACGGATGTCAACTCCTGCACTTTATCGCTCCAGTGGAGCAGTAAAGGCAGTAACCAAATAATACCCTGAGTCAAATCTCATATTCCGGCTTAAATATAAATTTGTGTCTAGGACTTTGGCCATGACATAAATATACAAGTACATAATGGACATATTGATCTATACCCACATATTAAAACTGAAATTTTAAAGCTTACTACACTTATCTGTTTATTCTTGTTTAAGAATACAAAACTGAGTAATAAAAGAAAAAAAAAATGCACAGTGAAAGCCTTGAGAAACCGAGCTCTGACCTTGTTTTTCAAGTAACTCTTTCTGTTGTGTGAGTTCATCTATTTGGCTTCGAAGAGTCTGTAATGAATTTCTTGTCTCACTTAATTCTTTGTCCTTCTCTTCAATTGCTTCATGCACCTGCTTCTTAACTTCAGCTATGGCTAATTCCCGGTCGGCTTCCAACTGCTCAATCACTTCACGGGCTTGACTTATCTGCTTTTGCAATCGCAATACCTCCTCACTACTTCCAGCAGGTAACTGAAAGAAAAGTTTGTTACAACTTTGAAGTTTAACAGCTGAGAAAGAGTTAGATACAAAATATTATGTATTATAATTTATGATGAAACCATTTATGAATATCTTGTCAACAACATCAAGGATTTGTTGTAAACTGAAATATTACCATCACATGACCAACTGTAATCAAAGTGTAATGAGAAATATAGAATTAGTCTCATGCAAATGTTTTGGTCAAGTGCATTAAAAATTATAATTTAAAAATTTTGATTTTAAATTTAATCCAAAATTTAAATAATAAATGACAAATGGACATATTAATATATGTTCTTTGCTGATATGAAGTGGAAAGATTCTATTGAATCAATTGCTAGTTATTCTGCTAGAGAAGTTGGTTCACTGTATTGTGGTAGACAATTTTTCTCTCTAGAATCTATCTGAAATATTTATAATATATATATATATATATATTATATGAAATATTTATATTTTATTCATCCATGCTTTGAATATATATGTGCTGATGCTGTATATTTAGAGATTCTTGATAAAATCCAAAGAAGAATTTGCATGACCTGGCATCAGTCACTTTCCCACCACTGTAATGTAGCTTCCCTGTGCCTTTTCTATAAATACTTTGGTAATTGTTCTGATAAACTTTCCTATATAGTGCCTAGAGTTTGGGAATTCAAGAGCAGTACTAGATTGGCAACAAGGACCCATCATTTTACAGTTGGATTGGCTAGATATAAGCATAAGTTCTTTGCTAACAGTTTCTTTTCTCACACTTCTTTCTTGTGAAACCCCTTTGTGGTTTCTTGCTTTCCAGCCAACTTTGATCTTCAAAAATTTAAATGCAATGTCAATTGTTATCTACTGTCTTCTTGATTCCTCTTATTGTTCTTGCGGTTTAATAATATTCTTTTTCTTATTCTTTCACACTCAATAACTGTTTGTGTCTTAGTGGCTTTAATGGCTTGCTTCAGATTAAATGATTAAAAAAACAAAATTTTAATTAAAGATAAAAATTTTAAAAAAACTTAAAAGTTTAGCAAATAATTGTTTTATGTTATTTATAACAATAAATAAAAGAACAAACTAAAATTTAAAAAAAAAATACACATTATAATAATAAAAATTATTATTTCTTATATGCTACTTTATTATTCAAAACAGCCAAAATTATTTTCACTAGTAAAGAATATAAATTTAAAATAAAGGAATAATTAATATTCGCCCACTCAGCTGATCAATAGAAGTTAGACATTTATCTCTCACTTATCTATTTAGTACAGTCAAAATAATTATTCAATAATATTCAAGTCAGGAAACTGTCTTGACCAATTTTTTTTAAACATATTACCCTTTCCTTTTAAATAATTTGTAGTTGACTTTAAAGCTCATATCCTGTTGAAGAATGTACAAATTTTCTTCATATTTAAGGTACCATATTTTCATGTGTATAATATGTCTAGAGTATATACAACCTTATGACCATATCATGCTGAACACACCAGTTCTTTTCCAGTCACCAAAGTTAAGCAACATTAAGCCTGGTCAGTACTTAGGTAGGTGACTGCTTGGGAATACCAGTTGCTGTAAGTGCTTAATATTAAAGGAGACATGGTAGTGTATTGCAACTCAGATTGAGGTATTGGAGGGCCAATTCGAATTCCAGTAAAGCTCATTACATTCACTAACATGCTAATACCCTTGGGAAAGGTATGATTCCAACTCTTCTTCCACCAGACTGACTGGGTTCCATAGCCTTGGGTGACAACCAGTCTAGGAGAAGGAAAACTCTGAATGCAAAACTGTATGACACCCTGGCAAAGCACATAGTATGCAGCTAAGGAAAGGATCATTCAAATTGACTTGATGATCATGACTATGGTCAACTCCTTTATTTATTTATAATACGATCACATGGTTCTGAAGTTAAAAACAAGGAATAAATTACATCCTTGAGTATAATATGACTCTGTAGTACAGTACCCCTATGTAATTTGTTTTTCAAAAAGTTGGAGCATATTACCCACTACCAGAGAAAAAAAAAAAAAAAAAAAAAAAAAAAAATCACAATTTTGTACATGTATTTCACCAAAATATTAAATTTTTCATCATATTATAGAACAGAAAAGAACGATGTTTAGTCACTGCATGTTTCTTCTAATTTCCTTTTTAAGGAAAGGTGCTTTGTTGTAAAATTAATGTTATCAAAACATGACAAATAATGTGTATTCTCTTTATTCATTTTTTTTTTTTTTTAATCAACTTCATTGAATTTCCTGTTTTTGAGACAAATGATAGTCATTACACCGATTCCCAAAGAACAAATATTGCCATCATATCAAATACTTTTTTAAACAATTGTTATCAACACCTGCCTACTTTGTGTTTTATTATCTATTGTGCTGAGTGTATTTGCAATTTTGCTGTTTCTAGTAAGAGGTTTTTTAAAAAGTTGAGTAAAAATTTCTGAAAATGTATATTTATGCATAATACAATCTCCCCTTTTTGTTTCTTTAATTTCTGTTCAAAATTTCTCATATTATACACAAGAATATATGGTATGCTTACATTGAGTATACACTTATTTTGCTGGCAAATTTGGATAAATTAAATTAATCCAGCATTAAAATTTTTCAAGTTGTAGAAAAATACACAATTTTTAGATCATTCAAAAGAGAAACAAATTCTGCATAAAGCATACATAATAAATCTATTTTATATTGTTTTATTAGAAACATATTCTGAAATGAATAAAAACTAACTATCAATCTTAAACTTATTTTCGCCAGTATATGTTGATATTCTTTTGAATTTTCATTGGATAAAATGATTACAATCTTTTAATCTTCTCAAATTCTTCCTATACTGTATTTGCCACAGCAGGTTTCAGTTTTTGCTGCATATTTTTTTGCTAAATTGTTAACTAGGAAGTTTTCTCACATATTGTCTTGTACTTAGAAAAAGTTCAATTCAACATTCCTGTGAGAAAATATTTTCCCAGTTCAAGATTACCTATTTACTTTTGGAAGCATGCCACATTTTTTTAAATTTTAATTGGCTTGCTGTCAACTTCATTTTCTTTTGCTGAAACATGACCAAATTAATTATTACATTGTAGACAACATTTGATAGTATCTACATCTGCAATATTTTTCACATTCAAACCTTTTGAATTTGATTTAATGGTGAGATTCTTTGATTCAATGATTTCATTAAGAAAATTTTTGTTTACTACCAGATTTTGATCTAGCCAGAAGACATATCCCTCAAAATGCTGTTTGTATCAATTATGTTACACACTGCTTTCCTGTCTCTCAATCTGTCCTGTGAGTATCAAATTTTCCGAACCCTCCTTCCTCATGACATGCCCCAGAAATTTCAACTACCTCTTCCTGATGTTAAATATAAGTTTCTTTTTTGTTTCTATCATCTCCAAAACCTTGTTGTTGCCCACATGTATCCTCAGCATCTTTCTATAGAACCACATTTCTGTTACTTCAAGTCTCTTCCTCATCTTTGTCCAATATTTGCTGCCATACAGGAGGACAGATATCATGTAACAGTTCAGTACTCTTTTCTTTGTTTCCAACAAAACTTTCCTGTCTCTTAATACTCTGCTTAGCTTTTAGAATGCATCTTTGGCTATCCCAGTACAATTTTGAAGCATTTTTCCGTTCTCTGTTAGAACACTTCCCAGATACTTAAATTTCTGTGTCTGCTTGATTTTAGTATTCTTGGCCTGTAATTTGCATTTTGATCTCATCTTTTTGCAGATAAAAATCATTTGACAAAGCTGTATAACAATCCATATAATCAAGTTTACAAGATATAATCTATTTTCTGAGTTGGACATTCAGAATGGTCATCTTTATGTTCAGATGGCTATCAGACAAACAATCCCTTCTTTTATATGTCATATCCCTTTAGAACATTGACAATCATGGCTCTCCACAATTTCCTGTCTTTTGTAGCTCTTAATAAATTTTTGTCTTTTTGTTGTTTCTCCTAAACCCTGTCCTGCCATACATTTACTGAACTCACTAAGTAGATTTTGCTTTGTTTTCCTGTCCCTCTTGCCTTCTGTGAGTATCAAATTTTCCAAGCTCTCTTTCCTGATTATGTACCCTAGAAATTTAAACTATCTCTTCCTAATGTTAAATATAATATTTGCAGGTTATTTCAAGCCAGAAAATATTTTTAGATTGTAAGAATTTTTTTATGAAATAATGATTTAATGATACAAGTCTTATTAATTAACACAGAGCTAGGGAAGAAGAGGTGGATTCATACCTTTCCCAAGGGTATTTGCATGTAATATAATGAAGACGACTGGAATTAGATCTCCAATTTCCAATTCAAAGCCATTATCCATTATAACACCCACACATCCAAGCTTACAACACCTGGTATTTCCAAGCTGTCACCCATTTAGCTACTGACCAGGCCCAATGTTGCTTAACTTTGGTGATTATATGAAAACCAGTGTTTCAACATGGTTTGGTTTGTTTTACGGCATATCAACCTCAATGGGTTATTTAATGCTGACAAGATTTTTATTGCTGGTAATAATTTTTTTCAAAAAGTTTTTCTGGTAATATTTTTTTTCAAAAATGTATTGCTAGTAATATTTTTTTTTTTCAAAAATGTATTGCTGGTATTAAAACCTATTTTTACACTTTCATAGTGTTTTGACCCCAGTTTGAGCGGTTAACTATTTGCCCATAGCTGGGATCCTAACAGGTCCTACCACCCTGAGTCAGAGTATACCTGGGAACACCAGCAATTAAGAGGTGGTTCCATGCCCCTCAAAACCTTCTGATCAGAGGCCTTGCTGTTGGATGTAGTTTATCATCATACCCAGGATGGGTTTCAACATGATATGGCCATAAGTCCACACAGATATTATAAGAACTGTAGAGTTGATTTAAAGAAAGCATATAGGTTATGATATGCAAATATTGTATCATTTTATATAAGGGACACCAGCATTCATCGATTTTCATATTAACACACAATCCTGTGAATAGTCCACTGCAGATAGATAACTGGATTTGTTTTTTTAGTGTGATTTTATGTAACTGTATTTTACTGCCCTTTCTCCTCAATTACATCTCAGTTTCCATTGTCTTTCATCTTCATTAACCCCATACATCTTAGTGACTTTATCACCTTGCTTGATATGAAATGATTTTTCAAAAAACAAAAAAACTGAAAAGTGATTTCATGAAGAGGATTTAAAACAAATATTCAGTATTTCAAAGATTTCTAAAACAATTGTCCAATGGGTATCTTTCATGGTGTTCTATTGAAATACACAAAACAGACATAGGTAAAATCAATAAATACATACCCCTGATTGATCACCTTCATAATTCCTCAGTTGTTTTTTCAGATTTTCATTTTCTGTATTCAGTTCGCTTGTTCTTTCTTTATTGCTTTTTATGATTTCTTGACATTTGCTTAACAAGGTCTCTAAGCGTTTTACCTGGAAGAAAGCAATTCAAACAGAACTATAAGTATTCAATAATATAGATCAATTATCGGGGAAGAAATCTACTCTGAAACTTACACAAGTTCTTGCAAACTTAAAAAAAGAGTCTCCAATACAAGAATTGCAGAGCAATACGAAGAGCTTTTTTTTTCTTTTTTTTAAATAAAAGGATACAAATAACCTAACCACTACTACAGTTCTACATTTCCAATCATAAAAATGGTTCAGTTGTTGCCTTAATGCTCAATGCAATAAGTGAACCATTGAACCATTAATATAATATGGATCTGTAGTCACAAGTAGGTGATTATAATTTGTAATATTGTAGAATAAATGTCATTTGCATCCTTTCTAAAAAAAAAAAGAAAAGAAAAAAAAAAGTTCATTTTTTTTCAATCATGCGGCAAAATCTACTCCCAAATTGACAAGTTCTTGCAAATTTAAAAAGTGCTCACTACAAAATTATAGAGTAATACTAAGGAAATTTTTTTTTTAAAAGATATAAATAACTTACCCACTACTATAGTTTTATGTACCTGATCTTCATTTATTGTATATCCTGTCACTTGGTATCTTAATATATACAATCTTTATCTGACTTCACATGAAAAAACAATTTGTATAGATTTTTATTTTTATTTTTTTAATTGAGCAGGGTGTTGATTTTTATTTTTATTTTCAATTACTGGTTCCTACTGTGCAATATAAAGATCCCACTTATTTTAAATGCCAAATATAATTTTTAAAATTAAAAAAAACTAATCCCAGCATAATATATAACTGCATCAACATTGCAATAACTAGATATTTTTTAAAATTTAAATTACATGAAAGTCAGTTGATACTCAGCACCTGAAGATTGTGTTATGCATGAAACTCCAAGCTATACAATCAGTGAGGGATATGTATATTTATTAATATTTACTTAATAGCTCTATTGTATTACATCAAGCTGTTTTATTAACACCAGCACGATATGTGCGATATATATATTATATATATATATATATATATATATATATATATATATATATATATATATATATTTGTGTATCTAGGCAGCAATTCCTCTTTTAGACATGTTTTATTACAGACAACTGACAAGGTACTGTGATCAAGCTTTTTATTTAATTTTTCATGTGTTTGTACAAGTGTTTTCTTTTCTGGCCACAAAGTGTATAAAAACTGTCTAAAAGTTCTGCACATCCAAACACTTTTGGCTCTACTTTTAGCCATTATTAAGGATGATTTTATTTTTACTTTTAACTGAATGTATGGGTTGTGTTATGTATGTATCTAAGGTTATAGGAATGTTTTTATTTCTTGAACATGGTTAGCACATTGTGGTCATGTTCATAGTTAATGTTATTGAGTGTTGGCTTTTTTTTTTTATTACGGCTTCCATTATTTTTAATCTTTTTTTTACATGTAGATGAGGTTATTATACTTGTATTTTCTACTGTGACATTATCGACTACAGGTGGATGGGCTGACCCAAAAAGCATTTATCTCAGGTTGAGATAAAATTTAAATCTTGACTGGAGTGTTCTGGGCTGGACACACTTAAACTCACTAGTCAAGATTGATGAAAAACATCCGTTTCATTCAGGTTTAAAACAAGACGCTGATTTGGATAATAATTTTTCACTTGAAGATAATGATTAGAGGAAACATCGCACATGGCTTGAAAGAAAAGAGAATTAAATATTTTTTTATCTTTTCCTGGAGATTTAATTTCTCCATAAAATAAATCCATACAGCCATTTCTTGATGCTTTTGGTGGTGTCCATCAGAAACAGGATGATGATATTTTTTTTTCAAGGGATAATCTTTTCCATAAATTGAATTCACCTAAAATTTGAAATAGTTGAGATGGTTAGCTTTTAATTACGGTTCAGACCACCCCTTGTTATGGCCCCTAGAAAGGGATTGGTCAAACAGATCAAGTGACACCCCAAACAGAATAGTAACAGGTTGTTTGTAAGGAAGTTTGAGGAAGGAGAGGAGGTAGCAGTTATGAGTGGAAGTCAGGAATACCAAAGAAGGAAAGTTGGAGTTGGATGGGTGGATTAACCCTCTCACTGCCACTAAGTGGCCCAAAATTAGAAAATGTCAGTTGAGACAGTGGAATGGTTGATATTTCTATGCTAGTCAGACCCCCATCCAGTTTTGGGCAAAGTATTATAAAAACCAGGCATTTTAAGGCTTTTAGTGAGAACAGGGCCACAGGTCAAGCAGAGTAGAACCACAGGTTGAGCAGAACAAATTCAGAGTAGTTCAGTAAAGTCCACAGGAGAACTCCAAGAAGAGTTATCACTTAGATTTGAATCAAAATGTGCCTAAGGACTGACTAGGCTAACTCCTGAACCCATGATCATGTACCAACCTAAAACTTACAATTAGACGCCCAGAGTGAACAACTAAGAGCTCAAGTCTTAAGGTATAATCATCCATCACTCCTGCATTTTTTTGCTTTTTTTTTTTTGAAGCTTGTATTTTTTCCAATATTACCTTGTATAAATGATCTGTTAAAATTGAAAAGAGTTGTCAACTCCCACATTATATAACCATCAGAGCCATCATTAGTCGTAGTATGCCAATTCCTGCAGCATATTTATGATCGTTTGAGATCAGTCACAACATGGGCATTCGACTGGATTTTTTGACAACTGTAGAAATCAATACAACCAATAGTTGATGGAAGAAATCAGATATTGACAGCCATTATTGGATAATCAGTGAGCCCTTTAACTCATCGGCTGACCAGACGATGTTATACTACTAGTATGTTTCGGATGGAGTCTGGTAGGTTTTTGTTTGTGTTTAAATGAGTCCTAATGGATCTATTAAAACAAATCATGTTAAAAGTGGAAAAAATTATAGCTTAATCACACTGGATAAAAATACATGTTTTTAACTTTTTTTTGTACACTTCTACTCATAAAATTTGCATTTCATTTGATTCCAAGGAGGAATAAATGAAAAAAACAAGTTCAAAATATTTTAAATACCATAATAATTTAACATAGGAAAGTTCAATTATGCCAAAGAAAAATATTAGTAAAATAAAATTATCTACAATTTTTGATGGAAATTAAATTTTAGGCTTTTAATATTACAAACTTCTGTGTGAAAAAATCTTTATTTTAAGAAACTTCAAATAAATGTTTGTTTATTTTTTTTAAGTAAATAAAGATGAACATCTGTTTCAAAAGTTATAAAATTTTAAGAAATACAAGAATTTTGTAGAAACAAATTTAAGTTTCATAAAAGAAATGTTTACTTTTTTTAAGTCTCAGTAATTGAAAATAAGATTTATTTTTGTTTACATAGTATGCTACATAAAAAAAAGAAATCTTTTCAATAACTGAGGCTAAAAAATGATTTTATGGATTAAAACTATTATAAAAACAAATTGTTATAATTTAACTGCCTCACCATGAGGACAATTTGTGATACAAGATTAATTTTTTATGAGACGAAATCAAGTGTGACATTGTCACGAATTCTAAACATTCATTTTGTTTTTATATTACATGATATTAATTATAATTAATGGGTAGAAACTTGCACATTTTTTTTAACACCAGTAAAATAAATTTGCATCATACTTAACTTGATTATGATCTATACATTTTAATTTTACTGATAGTTTAAAATCAATAAATATTTATGTCTTTTTATCCAAAGAATCATTTTTGGAATCAGAAATTAGGTTAAAAATTCTCCAATTCCAATCCAGATACCCCAAAAGATTCAGATATTTCCGATTCTCGATTCCAATTAGTTTTCTCATCACAAATATATATTGTTGTAACCTAGGGAAGGTTACTAAATAAAATAATCACACAAAGGTTGGTAATGAATGATAATACATAGGACATGAACAACACATATAAGATTTGCCAGTGGCATGTAGAAGTAGTAGTCAACTGTTAGAAGTGAGTTAAGTGAATTCCACAATGAATCTTCAACTACAGACCAACGTATGGTATTTACTACTGTATTTATGTGAATGGGGACATACCAGTTATCGTCCGTAGGTCTGCTACAACATATATAAGTTGGTAGAGAAAAATTCTCAAGACTGAACAGTGAATTTTTATTTTTGTAAGGAGTGCATTTTGTATATGATTGCCCTAACTAGAGTGTCCTCAGGTCATAAGTTTTCTGTCAGAATTTCCTTCTTTAATTCAGAGGGCCAAGCCAGCTGATGACGTCTGCAGTACCAAAGGGATGTGTAACCACATGGCTGACTAGAATAGAGAGTTCACACTAATCCTAGTAGCCAAAGCCATTAGGAAAGATATTTGTTTTGTTTAAAAAAAGAACAAAAATGGCAAAGAGTTGATGATACTCTTCCTTCTACTGTGTCTTTGGTGGATGATTATTTACAGTCATCTTGAAAATTTTTAATTTATTGACCTTCAAATTCAATGTTCTGGAAATTTATCCAGTCATTCAAGTTTGTTTCAATACTATGAAAAAAGAAGTCTAGTCTTTTTATCTTAAAAATCAACATTGAAATTCATTCTCAGGTTGTGCTGGCTTGGTTCAGAGTAAAGACTGCTCATTTGGTGTGAGTTGGGTTTCACTGATCTCCAAACTTGAGGTTGTTAGCAATTTGAAAAATGAATATTGCTGCTACTACTATTTATGGTGTTACCATTTACTTAATTTTTCACTTTGTTTGGTTAATTAACGATAAAAATTTTGTACCCCCAAAAGTAATGCTATTTGCATTACTTTTTTTTTTTTTGCATATAAACTTTTGTTCTGAAAAATAATAAAAAAAATTCCAATCTATGCATAGAAATTTGAAAATTGAACAACATGGATATGCAAGATGAATATTGTCCCTCATCAAATCAAGCCACTAAAAAAAAAAAAAAAAAAAAAGAGAAATAAAAATAAATGAGAAAAAAAACAAAAACAGCAGCTCTGGAAGGTTGGGGGTCTCCACTGTCTGCCAGTCCCTCTTCTGCAGTTAATGAACTAAAGCATTCTCCACCTGTATGAGTTTCACTAACCATGTGGGAGCTTCAAAATCAAACATGTAGGATCCTCTAAAATATCATTGACAAAGTCATAACATTTTTCAGTTATATATTAACTGAAAAATTAAATAGAAATGTTACCTTTGCAAATCCCTTTGATTTTCAGAATTTTCTTACCTTCTCTTGAAGAGCTATAGAATTGTCTGCAGGTGGTTGATTGGAGGCATCAGTTGGTGAAGGAGTTTCTCCATCCTTGGGGGAATCTTCACTAACTGGATCCTTTCCTTCTTTTAAGAGCTTGACCTATAAAACAGATACAACAGTTACAGTAATATATATTATTAAATTTTCAGAATTTTTAGGTGCCGAAATAGTTGGTTCTTTTTCCATAGTTTACGTCATTTTAGACGGGCAGGTTTTTGTCATAAAGTGTTCGATATCAAAAAGTAAGGATAGAGCATTAATAGAATTAATGTGGAGAAACTTGTCACTTAACTCTGTGGTGTTATTTCAGTCATACTGACTTCAAAGTTTTGTAGTAATGCCTTCACTCTTCAGGGTTATTGGCCAATAGCTTTGAAGAATGAAGGCATTACTACAATGTGCTCATGAAATTTCAAAGTCAGCATAAATGAAATAATAACACCACTCAGTTAAGTGACAAGTTTCTCCACATTAATTAATATATATATATATATATATATATATACACACACACAGGTAATAATCAGTTGGTATATAATCCAAGTGGATCATATTAATATAATAAAAATATTAAAACTAATTCACATAGAGAGCTCAATGTTTTATTCAAACAGAGCATATAAATTACATAGAATAGGAATTAAGATTACTTCAAATTCCCCAAATTAATCTTAATTTGTTGGGTGAAATGACCATAATCTTGAAGTAAACTTAATTCCTATTGTATGTAATATGTATGTATATATATATATATATATACACACACACACACACAACTGGATTTTTACTCCATCTGTTCTTTCTCTCACCTGTGTGTGTGTATATATATATATATATATATATACTCCACAGCATTTACTTTTAATATATATATATATATATATATATATATTTGAAAAAATTAGGAGATCAGCCAATCACACTACCTTGGTTTCAACCTTTCAGTATCTTCAGGCAATCTGGGATAAATAATTCCCTAATGCTCTATTATTTAAAATAAACAAACACACAACACAAAGCATAATACAGGGGGAGTAGAAAAGCAAGGTTATTGAAATTGTATCAGAGTGGGGTTTCAAACAAACTCAAAAGAAATTTGTGTGTAAGCACCGTGTCATTATTTCTGATCTCTCATTCAAAAGGTTTTTCTGGTCTGGAAATGTTATTATTGTTAACTTTTTTTCTTGGCAAAGATTGTAGATATTACTGTGATTGTAGTAAGGTTTGGCTGTTTTTATTATTTCCCAGTTTACAATCAGATCTCTGTTGTTTTTTTCTTTTAATTTCCACACATGGCTGACTAGTCTGGTAGAATTCTAAAGTCTTTCTTGCTTAAATGATGACTTGTGATTATACCACCTTGTTTTGAATCTGCCTTCAGTACATCCTATGTAAATTTTGGTCTTTTACTTCTGCTTTATAAATTGCTCCTTCAGTTTTGCAAACTCCATCTAGTGGACATCTACTTTTATTTCTATAGTTATATGTTTCACTGTTAATGATACCTTGTTCTGCATTAGTTTTGAAATTCCAGGTGTTTTGTCTTTATTGTGGCTTCTAAATTACTAGTGGTGATGTAGCTTAATTTAATTGTGTTTTTATTAAAGATCTTGTGTAATTCAGAATTTTGGGGGAAGTGTTTAAGTAATTTGAAAAATATTTTCTCTATTTTACATTTGACCTCTAAGTTAAAAGCAGTGTTAAACCATATAATATTTTTTCTTTTCCTCAATTAGTCTTCATTTGAGATTTAAATTCCACTTCAAGTTTATGCCCCTCTTTTAAGGTTTTTCATACTCTTTCTTTTTATCTTTGAAAATTATTTTACTGGAGGAATTTCTAGATAACCTGGACTCTATACCTTTAGAGATGTGCTTTTTTATACTTGCAGGGTGGTTGGATACAACATTCATGTATTTTAATTTTGTGTTTGGTTTATGTATGAGAAGACACTGCCAATTTGTAGATTTAATTCTACATTCAAATATTGAACAACTTTCTTATTTTTGTTGACCTCTCTTTCAAAGTCAAGGCTTTTGAAGAGTTTGAAGAGCATCTTTATGACATTGTCATTTATTCTTCTGCTGTCTGGCACTATCATCTACCTGTCATCCCTATACAAGCCGTGGTTGTCTGCATGTATTATTTTGTTGATTTTATATAAAATATATAGGCCCATTAATTCAGAAACCTCAGCACCATCGAAGGAACCTTGTGTACAGCGAAGTTACCCGTTTTTGATTTTTTTTAATCTAAGATTAATAGAATAATAGTGATTTACAGCAATGTAAAATTATATTTATTTGTTCAGGTGTTATATTTACAAAGCCCTTAGTGAAGTCCAAAGCCTCAAGAAGTTTTTTTTTTTTTAGATATTGATGGATAAATATTTTTTATGTTGTATTTTATAAATACATATTTATCTTTAATCGCATTTAACCAAGAAATGCACTCACTTCCTTCCATTGATCTACTAGAATATTTTCTGTATTTTTTTTTACTTCCGTAGTTTTTTGTGAATTTAATTTTGTCATTATACCAAACATATCCTTTTCGAAGTTAGACAGCTCTTTAGTAGCAGGTGGATAATTCCTAGTTTTTAATTTAAATTTATCTAATTTATTTAAGTTTATCAAATAACTTATCTTGCAAAGGTAATTTATCTGATGAATAACTATATATATGTGTGCGTGTATATATATATATATATATATATATATATATATTCACTTGCCCCTCCCCACCAAGGATGATATAAAAACAAATATTCAGATAACTTTAATCCTATTTTTGAAAATGGTAAAATACAACAAAAATAATGTACAGTAAATGGAAGCAGAACTTTCTTGCTGCAACACTTGGGTTTTTCAATGTACATGTACAAAATTCCAAAAGACTATTGATGATGCAATTTTAAATGATAATTTTAAATCTCAGAAGTTGATTTCATTGAATGTGGATATTTTCTATGACCTGTAAGATCATTGGAGTGCCATGACATGTAATTTCCCTATATGACATCTCTCAGTTATTTGATGGTGTCACATGATACCAGCAGCTTGGCTTTATGCACAAGAAAAGAAAACTATAACAAAAAACCAGGGGACTTTGCTGGAATTGTTTCACTCTGCTAAAGGCTTGGATCAGTCATGCACAAGCCACACTCTACCTAAGAACGTCACTGTGCAGACTTGAGAGTTTTACTGACTTCAATTATGATCCTAATATAAAGTCACTTTCCCACTGCTGTAAAGTTGCCTCCCGCTGCCTTTTCTATAAATGCTTTCACAGTAATTGTTTGGATTGACTCTTTGCTACAGTACCTAGACTTTTTGAATTTAAGTGCAGTACTAGACTGGCGTAGAGATCTTATTGGCTAAATGTAACTATAAATTCTATATATTAAGAAATGGACAATGTCCGACAATTTATTTATTAAAGACATTTTTATGTTTAACGTTGTTATTTTATAGATACAAGTATTTAAGCAAATGCTCTGTTTATGATAAACAGTATTAAATAACATTTACCGGCCCTGAATGTCCGAGAAATTTTCATAGAAAATATTCATTCTTTGACAGGATTCGAACCTGCATCCTATACGGAACCGTCATATACGCTGACGTGCCTTACCTCTAGGCTACAAAGAACCGTTCGGTAGACAAGGTTGAATTGGAGTTTATAAGCAGTAAATTCGACCTTGTCTACCGGTTCCCTATAGGATGCAGGTTCGAATCCTGTCAAAGAACGAATATTTTCTATGAAAATTTCTCGGACATTCAGGCCGGTAAACGTTATTTAATACTGTTTATCATAAACAGAGCATTTGCTTAAATACTTGTATCTATAAAATAACAACGTTAAACATAAAAATGTCTTTAATATATAAATTCTATGCTAACAGTTTATTTTCTTGCCCTTCTCAATTGTGGAACTCCCTTCTGGTTCCATGCTTTCCAGCCAACTTTAATTTTCAAAAATTTAAATGCAATGTCAATCACTATCTACTGTCCTCCTAATTACTCTTTTTGTTCTTGCTCATTTGTAATATGTCTGTTTTCTAATTTTTACACACCCAGTAACTTCTTGTGTCTTAGTGGCTTTATTGTCTTACATGGGGTGAACTCAATTAAAAAAAAAAAAAATAGATAAATAAAAAAATAAAAAATCAATAATCAAATTCCATAGATAAATTACCTTTACAAGACTAAAATGGTTTCAAGTCCCTGCTATTTACTCAAAACTGAGAAGTGGAGTTATGTCATTGCAAGTACAGAGTAAACACCAAATGTCCTAGCCATAATTTGAACTCTGTTTGCCAAATTCAATTCTCTGTAATGTTAAGGAATATGTTATGTGGATGTGCAGGTGGTGTAATGGATAGTAGCTCAGTATGAGGACTCAAAGTGGATTTCAAATTCCAGTTGGGCTCATTACATTCACTTATGTGAAAATACACTTGGGAAAGGTATGAATCCACATCTTCTCCTCATAGCTATGGGCTAAATAGAAGGACTTGTATCTGGAAAAATTGTTGTTACCTCCAAAAATTGTTAATGCAATTAATGCAAAAAAAGAATTACCCATAAAATCTAAAATGTATTTCAGAATTAAAATAACTCAGAAAGGGTGTAAGCTGTAAAAAATAAATTATTCAATCTGTACTGTTAACCATTAGGCTACCCACACCTCCATCTAATTTCATTAGTCCAATGATTTTTTTATACTTTTCCAAATGACCAGTTTAACATTATCTTAGAATATACTAGTTATGACAAAAGCATCAGCATTTATAACTTGCATGATATAAAGTACTTATGATTGAGAACAATACATTAAATGAATTTTTTTATCATTTGTTTCCAGCTTTGTACAAACAAAAAAAAAATATTAACAAAAATAAAACCCACCCACTCAAAATATTATAAATATACATCACACCAAAATTGAAAAAAATTAAACATTAATGTTTACTAAATGCTTCTTGAGCTAACAGACAAATACATAGAGATCAGAGTTAAAGTATCCGGTTTTACAATAGCACAAATAGTTGATAAATTCTAAGATTTAAGAAAGTAAAATCTTTAGATAAAGGAAAGATAAAGAAAAACTTACCTGCATCTTCAGGACATTAACTTGCTCATCTTTTTCATCTAACATAAGGCGATAATTTTCTTCAAGGTCCCTCTTAGCTAACTTATCCAAATTTATTTGCTCTTTCAGTTCTGAGATTCTTCTAAAAGATTTATCTTGTGTTTGTCCCAAAGTGTTCTACAAAAATAAATACATAATTAAAATGTGGTACAAAACAATTTTCAATCAAAATCCCAATCAAGGACACCAAAAAAAAAAAAAAAAAAGTCCTAGCAATTAAATTCTACCAATATTCTAAAGTTGATGCTAACCTATTGTGCCAGAAAACAAATCTAAGCCTATTAGTTATGTACTAAGACTGCTAGGAAAGTTGGTTCACTATGTCATGCTAGACAATTTTTCTCCCAAGAATCTATTTTGCACATTTATAAGTATACCATTCATCCAGCCATTGAATATTGTTGCCACATCTGTTCTGATGCTCTGGCTATGTGTCTAGAGACTCTTGACAAAATCCAAAGAAGGATCTGCAATGTTATCAATCCTGACCTGGCATCTTGGCTTCATTCACTTTCCCACTGCCATAACATAGATCTCCAGTACCTTTTCTATAAATATTTTCATGGTGATTGTTCTGATGGGCTTTCCTCTTTGGTACCTTGACTTTATGAATTTAAGATTGGCAGCTAGGCATCTTCATTTTATTGTTGAAATATCTAGATGTAACCATAAGTTACTTCTACACTTCCCGTCTGTTGAACTCTCTTCCAGTTTCTTGCTTTTCTGTCAACTAGAATCTTCAAAAATTTAAATGCAATATCAATCATCTGTCTTTTTGAATTCTGTATATCATTGTTTTGTATCCTCAATGTTTTTTCAGGTTTTCATTCTCAGTATCTCCTTGTGTCTTAGTGGCTTTATAGCATTGCTTGGAATGAAATGATTTTTAAAAAAAATTATATATTGACAAACAAATAGAAAATATATATTGACATTGATGCAAAAGAAAAATAAAAGCAAAACAGAAGATTGCTGATTATATCATAGCATATGGTATCCTGTTCTGCAAGTTAGATTTACAGATCATGACTACTGCAGTGAGTCTGATCTTTACCAGTTGTCACACAATTATTGCCTTATGCCAGACTAATCTCAGTAAATACACCAGGAGAGTAATCAGAGGTATGATTGCTTCTCTTTTATTGCTCCCATAAAAGGGACCACATTGACTTTCATGATGAATAAAAATTAAATATAAAATAATCCAAATTATTTTGAAGGACATACTTAGGCTGTTCCATAGTTAATCAATCTCCAAAACAGATTGACTTATTTCTAATAGTATTTGAAATTCTTAAGTGAAGAAATGTCAACTTTCATGGACAGTAAGCAACAAGGAAATGACAATAGAAAGAACATACTCAGAATCAGCAAAAAAACAGCTGAAATTCCTTGAACACATAATGAGGAAAGAGGTATTGGAAAAATTTTATTGAAGGCAAAAGAAGTAGGGAAGGTGGCAAGCCACTTACCTGAAAAGCTTGGATGACAGAATGGGGGTAGGAGCCTTAACAAAGGGAGAAAAACTGCTAAGGATCAAAAATTGTGGAGAGCTATGATTGACTATGTCCTGAAGGGACGTGGCATATAGAAAAAGTCATTTTTTATATTTTTTGATTTTTTATTGCAACTCCCAGACCATCATTCTACAATTGTTAAGTAGAAATTAGAATGACAATCTGAGATTTGCCAAACAAAACAAAAGAAATAAGATGAAAGATTAATAAAAAGAAATTAAGTGGAATTCATTGTTTAACATTGGAAAGAATTATAAACATGACTAAATTTGTTTGGACAACTGAATTCATTATTTATGCTGGTTTTGCTGTTATCACAACGTTTTGGATGACCCATTCTACTGCCTTCTATTGATGAGATACAATTTGTAAAGAAAAAAAAGGGGGTCTATTTACAAAACAAGATCCCAAATCTGTTAATTTTATTCAAGTAATTTAGTTCCTTATCCTAGTCAAAAGAAGACACAGACAGAGGGGAAAATGAGCTGACAGTGTCACTGTGTGGACTGGAAGATTATTCATAGAGACACAGACATTGGCACACAACAGAGACATATGAAGGGAACTGGTCAGGTTATCAGCTGCACAGTGGTCTTAGAACCACACCTGGCCCTGGGTTTGATGATGTATTTAGTTCATTGTAGTAACATCAAGAGAAAAAAAATTTGAGTCCAGTTGTTGAACTGAATTGTTGGGTTTAATAGCATATCAACCCTTATTAGGTCATTTAATACCAAAAGTTAATTGTTTCATTGTAAGTTAAGGTATGTGGATGATTGGATTGTTGTGTTTTGTATTAGTTCTTTCAATGCCAAAAATTTGTTGCTTCATTGTGAATTAATCTACGCATACAGGGTTCAATTGTTGGAATTAGTAGCAAATCAACCTTTTTATTCATTTTTTTTTTTTTTGTCTGGATATGAGAGAATCTTCCTGGCAATGCCAGGCCAAACAGCACATCCAGAGCCCATCAAAGATGCCAGACCAATTCTGACAGCTACAACTGCTGCAATTATACCCACCTAAACAATCCAATATACCTGATGAAGCACAACACTGTCCAGCCCAGTGCTATCAGAAAGGTCCTTCATATTATTTGTTTGGTAATATTTCATTCGGGACTGGTGAAAATCAGTGCAGTTTATTAGGATGTGTCTAATTGTGTATGGATTCAGATAGGCCATACATATTGAGGGGATTTTCATTTTTAAGAAGATATTGATGCATGGGGTGTATGTGTGTCCTATACAGAGTCTGGCCAGGACCACCTCTTCTCTTCTTGTTTTCATATAACCTGGGAGCCATTCACCAATGTTTGACTTGATGTTAAATAGTTTGAGTTGTTGTTCCATAATTGTTGCCACTTTCTCATAATGTACTTTTTAATATATGGTCATAGGTGTGTGTATGGGATTTTAGTATTAGAGGGTGACAGATCTAGTGAATTTTTAGCTGCTTTATCAGCCTTTTCATTTCCGCAAATGCCACTGTTGCTAGGTATCTAGAAGGTGATGACTATGACATTTTTTGAGAGATTATTGATTTTATTTAAAAGTTTTATGATTAAGGGGCCTGAGGTGTCTCTGTTTTTGAAAGTGTCAATTTTGAATCAGAGAAAATTATGAATTTATTACATTTGTTTGAGGTTATAATTTATAGTGCTAAATCAATTGCTAGTACCTCGGCACTGTAGATTGAAGCTCCATCAGGCAACTGTTTCATTGTTTTAAAATTGTTCATTATGACAGCACATCCTACTTTTTCTCCAATTTTGGATCCATCTGTGTATATGTATGTGTGGTTTTGGTATGTGTGTTTAATGGGTTGTAATTCTTCTAGATAGGTCAATGGATTTGTTTTTGACTTTTGGAAGCTTGTAAGCTCTAGTAAGAATTTTGGTGGTTTTAGTAACCAGAGTGGTGTATTTGAGGTGATACTTTTCTGTATATATATTGTGTTTATTTGGGCTTCATTGGTAAGCTCTTTCATGAATATAGCAAATGATCTAATAGATTTTTCCTTTTGTTTGAACAAGGTTTTATTTTGAGGGTGGAGCACACTGTTGTACATTGGGGTTGCTGGGTTTGGGGATAATTTTGTGTAATATTGTAGCACCAGTTTCTGTCATCTTAGTGGTAATGAAGTTTCATCTGCTTCTACATATAGGCTCTCAACCGGGGACGTGATAAAAGCCCCCAGTGCAAGCCTAAGTCCCTGATGGTGTATGGTTTCTAATTCTTTTAAAATATGCTCCATAAATGAAGCAAGCATAGTCCAGTTTTAACTGTACCAATGACCAGTAGAGTTTTAGTAAAGTTTTTTTGTCAGCCCCTCACTCAGTGTGAGCTAACACTCTGAGGAGTTGCATTGCTTTGTTGCATTTTGCTCGTACATGTTTAATATGTGGGATAAATGACAATTTTTTGTTGAGTATGAGGCTTAGATATTTGTATTCTTTGACCACAGGTATTACTTCATTATCCAATTTTAGGGTGGGTTCATTGTGCATCTTTCTGATTTGGCAGAAATGTATGCAATGGTTTTATCTTTTGAAAATTTGAAACCATTTTCTATGGTCCAACTGTCTAACCTATAGAAGTAGAGTTGGAGCTCCATTGTGTGCATGTATTTTGATTTGCAATAAATCAAGAAATCATCCACATATAGTGTATGGTCAGTCCCGGTTTTAATGATTTTCACTATGTCATTTATTTTTATGTTAAAAAGGGCAGCTGATAGAATGCTACCTTGTGGCACTCACATTTCTTCTTCCTTTTTGATCAAAAGTGTGTCATTTATCCATACTTTGAAATGCCAATTATCCAGAAAGTTAGAAATATGTATTTGCATTCTACCCATCAATACCAGGTCCATTAAATCTTTTTATGCCATGTCTCCAGGTTGTGTCACATGCCTTTTTTATATCAAAAAATATTGCTGTTAGGTGGTTTTTTTTTTTTTTTTTAATGAATGCCTCACGTAGAGAGGTTTCTAATATCACTAGGAGATCAATAGAGCTTCTTTGTCTTCTGAAACCTGACTGATACTCTCTTATTAAGTTATTAATTTCCAGGTACCATACAAGTCTGTTATTTATCATCCTTTTGAATGTTTTACAGACGCAGCTTGTAAATGTAATGGGCCAATAATTTGCTGGGTCTGTGGTGTCTTTTGTGAATTTCAGTATGGGAATCACAGTGGCTTCCTTCCAAATTTTGGCGATGCTTCCACTGATTCATATATTATTGAAAATTTGTAGTAGGAACTTTGAGGATGCTTCTGGTAAATATTTTATGAACTCATAGTGAATATTGTCTGGTCCAACAGCTGTTTTGTGGACTTTGTTTAGTGCTTCTTAAATGTCTGTTTTTGTGAAGAGTTGGTTATAAATTTCTTCATTTTTGAATTGGAAGTTGATTTTTTTTTTTTGTTATGCTTGATGGTCGGGAATTCTTTTGTCTTACTTTGTTGAGAGGAATTTTGTGCAAACTATTCTACAAGGTTATCAGCCATGTCTTTCTTATTTGTAATTTTTGTATTATTTTGGATAATATCTTTGGTATGGTTCTTGCAATTTTTCAGATCATGTCCCAGACCTTTTGTTTTAGTATCCATATTTACTTTAGATATATATTTTCTCCATGTATTTCGTTTGGATTCTTTTATGGTTTTGTATGCTAGGGATCTGCTGTTTTTGTATACATCCATATTTTATTCACTTGAATTAGTCATGAATTTTCTTAAGTTTGCTCAACATTTTCTTATTGCTTTTAATGCATTCATCATTGAACCAAGGTTTGTTAATTTTGTGAGAGATGGAACTTTTTGGTATGTTTTCTTTTGCAATAGTATTAAGTGTGTTAGTGAAATATGTTATATGGTCTTTTATTGTCAGTGTTGGCTTTGGGAACAAGTCTGTTTACATGAGTTTTGATATTCTTTCCAGTTGGTTTTCTGGAGGTTCCAAGATGGTGTTTTATCTGCTAGTTCAGGGTTCTGATTTTTTAATATGATGGGGAAGTGATCACTTCCACATGTATCCTGATGGGTTCTCCAAGTGTAGTCTATGTATATGGCAGGGTTGCATATTGTTAGGCCTATATTAGAATATGTACCTGTTGCTGGATGTAGGTATGTGTATGATTTATCATTAAACAGACATAACTGCTTCTGGTTTATTAATGTTTCTATGGTTCAGCCTTTGTTATTTGTTTCTTTACTACCCCATAATTCATTGTGCCTATTGAAGTCTCCCATCAGGATAAATGGTTTAGGTAGTTGTTCAGTCGTTTACTTCTATTTCATTAATAGTTTCACTAGGTGGTATATACATATTGAGCAAATAGTGATGGTTCTATGTAAAGTTGCGGAGATTGCAACTGTTTGTATATTTGTTTTTAAATTTATTTCACTGTGAGGGATGTTATTGTTGATAGATATTGATGACCAACCTGAGGCTCTATTGGCTTGTTTATTTATGTTTGTATGACATGTAGTGTTTAAGGTCTAATGTGTCATTTTCTTTCAGGTGAGTTTCTTGGAGACATAATATTGCAGTGGGTTGTATGTTGTAACAAGTTATATCTCATTGGAATTAATTTTTGCACCTCTCATGTTCCACTGCAATATTCTATTTGACATTATTTATTTTTTAGGTTTGTAAAGTATCCATGCTTTCTCTGCTCTTTGCTTTGTCTGGGGGTTCGTCCTTCTGCTTAGTTCTTTGAGAGATCTTTTGTTTCTGTTTGTCTGCCTTTTTATTTTGTTCTTTTGGTGGTCTTTATTTTGATGTTGTTACCTTGATTTGTGGGAGGGGCTCAAGTTTTGTTGCTCTACTTTCATTTCTCCTGTTTTTTCAGGGTCATGCTGAGTGGGATTACTTTTTGTGTGGGTCTTGTGATTGTTTGGAATCTTCTAGTTCTTTAGGATTTTTTTGGATTTTGATTTAATTTTTTCAAAGTTGTTTTTCTGGTAGTTTCAGGTTCTCCTGTTTTGTTTGAGGTTGAAGAGGTAGGACTTGTTCCAATGGAGGGCAATGAGTTCATGCATGTTAAGCTTGTTTTCAGCAAGCAACTCTTAGTTTTTTTAATTCGTTTTTAAGGGATATGAGCTCTTCCTGCTTTCCCGTTGAATGATTCTCCTGTGTTTCCCTCAGAAGAGTCCTTGTCCTGGTAATACCTGCACATGATGTTGGCAGTATGGAGTCTTTTATGCATTTTCTTGTTTCTTGGGAGATGTTTTCAGTGTATTTAATTTTTATTAAGTGTTTTTCCTTCTTCCAGATTTTGCATTCTTTAGAATGTGCAATGTGATTTTGCATGCATTTTGAACACAAAGGGATTTTGTCACAAGTTGCTTTCCTATGGTCCATTTCTGAGTCCCTGCATCTGTGACATATTGAAGTTCTTATACATTGTTTTTGTACATGGCCAAATCTTTGACAGTTGTGACATCTACAGAGGTTAGGGATGTATGATTCTACTTTGGTTATTATGTAACCTATTCTAATCTCCTTTGGTGGTATGAAATTATTAAAGATCAGAATGTATGTGTTGGTGTCTATTAGTGTTCTGTTTCTCTGAATTTGTATCTTTTTGAAATGTTATACCTTGATGTTTTAATGAAGCATTATTTTTAATTTCTTCTGATGAGCATAACAAGAGACCCAAACTTTTTATGACTCTCTTGGAGAAGTTTCAGAATTGGTGAGGGTATGTTTTTACTTTTGTTTTGTTGAATTGTATTGTCTTTAGCAGAATTTCTTCATCTTCTGTGGTTTTTACTTTTATCAGAAGTTTGTTATTAATTTTGTATTTTTGTGATGGATTTTGGGTCTATCTTGGTCGATTTTGTTATGGATTGGTTTTCTGTTGATGCTATGATGATGAAAGTTGGGTGTGGGGTTTTGAGTTCAGATGTCCTATATTATTTTATGACATGTACTTTGTGTCCTTTATTTTGGGAGTTTACACAAAAAAACATGTACAGAAAAATAGTGATGATTATTTATTGGAGTGTATACTTTAATAAAAATGTTTAAAGTAAATGAATTGTTAGAAGATCAGTGATCATGTGGAGCCATAAGGTAAATAAAGCAAGCAAAATAAAAAGTCAGGAGACATAGAGAAATTATAGGAAACTGACTCCTTACCTTTAATTTGTCCCTTTCTTGGAGAAGATCTTTGAAGGTAGCTACCACCTACAAATATAATAGTTAAAGTAAATGCAATAAATGCTTATATATAAAAGAATAAAACATTTTTGGCTTTACAAGATTGCTGATATTTGTCATCAAAATAATCATTATGCTAACAAAAATAACAACATATATACAAACACATTTATATAGAAATTATGAAGTCCATCTGAAAAACATTTAATTATTAGTTTTATTTATAAATCTTAATTGGAAACAATAATTAATCATTTTATCAGATTTGCTAGTTCAAATTGAGTATTTTATTTATCTGCTCACTAGTTCTCATAAGTTAAGAAATATCAAGCTTGGTCAGTATCTACATAGGTAACCACTTCAGAATAGCAGGTGCTGTAAGTTTGGATATGCAGGTAGTGTAATGGATAACACTTCAAAATTGAAAGTCAGAGAGCCAAGTTCCAATTTCAGTCAGGTTCATTATATTCGCTTACATGCAAATACCCTTGGGAAAGGTATGAATCTACCTCTCTCCACCAGCTATAGATTTATTATTTGGATTTTTATCAATAAATCATTATTACCTAAGAAAAAAAAAACAATTCTTACAATCTAAAAATATTTTCTGGCTTTAAATAACCTAAAAAAAGGTTGATAAGCCATAAAAAAAAATAAAATAAATCCATCAATTTATTTATCTGCTTCAACAAAATTATCAGCCCAACTATTAAAAAACTATTCCCAGACATAAACTCTACACATGTAAGTTAAAATATATATGTAAATCTACCTTCAAAAATACCTGACTGACCGACCCACTGAGCGACTCCTCATACTATTACTACTCCTACTTATTATAGGTGGGAGAGTCTATTAAATATATAATAGGTGTGTTCCACTAAAACATCCCCCCCTAAAACTTTACTCCATAGGAGTAAACAGTTTTCTTTATTTATTTTTCATTTTTTTTTTTTACAGGAATATATGAAGAAAAAACAATGATTTTTTTTTTTTTTTTTTTTAGCAACATCATAGCGTATCTCCTACGTTTTTTGATCCACTTTTAAATGATCAATTGCCTTTCTTTTTCTCCTGGATCGGCGTACCTCAGGTAAAATCATTGCAGGCGTTGTTAGATCAAACGTATTGAAAATCACCTCCATCGGCGTTTCTTCTGCGGGACTGCTGTCAACCACGTCTGAAAAACATCATCTGATCTGGTTACTGTATGTGAATTTTCCCCCTTTCACCAAGTACATCATATTGCCAATTCGCTTTTCTATTTTTTGGTACCTCCATAGTGTTACCAGAAACAACCTTCTGCTTTGAGCTTCTTAAGGATGGAGTCACAGTTTCTGTAGGTTCTTCTTGTGGTTCTATTTGTTCAGCCTCTAGCTTTACTTCTGTTAATCTTGTGCTTCTTAACGTTTGCTGTGGTGACTTCAGTTGACTTAAATCATTTAATAATACTGCATGTCCATGGCTGCAGGTAACTCGCTCCCCAGTTTTTCTCGGTGTCGGTTTCAGCTTTACTTTCTGGAGCTTGTTTTTTATGTATATCGTCGGTGTTACCCATTCAACTTTTTTAAATACACCAGTTTTATCTAATCTGTCCAATTCTTTATCTATCTGTTCAATTGAAGCAAACAGCACATTCCTTTTCTTTTTGAAAACCACCTGAGCGGTTTTTTTTCGCTGGAATTTTGGCTCCATCTAGGTACACGTTCCCAAACCTGGAGAAAAAACAGTAGGAAATGTCTCCTTAAGTTTCTTTACTAATTTTTGGGCTTCTGAGTTTAAATTTTCAACCTTGTAACAAAGAATTTATCGGTAGATCCCATAATTGAAATTGTTATCCAATTCATACCAAGTTTGTGGTATTTTCTATGACAAATAGTTTAGCTTTTCATGTTTTTTTATTTAACGTGACATTTGTAACAAATTCTCCAATAAATTGTATTTTTTCTCCAGTCACTGACCTCGCGATTTTATTTGTCTTCATTAAAGTTGGTTTCCCCAACTTCTTCCACGTATGCAAATTTATGATAGATAGGTCGGAACCAGTGTCGAGTTGCATTTTTATTTTTTTTTTATTACTTATTTCAACGGTAACAAATTTTCTGGCTATTCCATTGTTCACCTCGTCAGACTTTAATTTTCTTATTTTATTGTCTTTATTTTTTGACCTGCAGTGTGAGCTTTTATGACCCACTTATTTACAGTTGAAACATTTTTTTTATTCCTAAAATTGCAATATCTGTACCAGTGTAGTTCACCGCAAGCAAAACATGGCTTCGGGAGTTTTTGTTTATTTTTCTCTGGTATTTCACTTTTTGTTTGATAATCCACAATTTTAGAATTCTTTTTGGTAGACTGACTTTCCTTTTTGTAGCGTATTTTCCTTACATGTGAAACGCCAGACTGTTCTATCTTTTTTGAATCTTTCTTTACGCTAACATATCTTGTGCAGTCTTCTGCCAACTTCTGTATCATAATCCTTGGTTCGTTTTCCAATTTTGACAGCACTAATTTTCTCAACTCTGCTTCTCTTTCCTTGAACAAACACTAAGTACTTAAAATTGTCAGCGCTTAACTCTGCTAGCTTGAATTCTTCACAATGCTTGTTCACATTGGCTGCGTATGTTATATAGTCTTGTTCGTCATCTTTCATCAGATTCAAACATTTCCACCTCTTGTGAAACAAAGATGTCTTTTTACTAAATAATTCACTTAATATATTTACTGCCTCGGTAAATGTCAACTCCATAGTTTTTTTTCGGTAAAATGTAGTTTATCAATTTGTTATGCTCAGCAGTTCCTAACTTGCTTAAAAGAAGCCTAACCTTCTTTCCTTCAGACCATGAGTGGCAGTCCTCGTTATACACGTCCGTATATTTTTTATAATACTCCTCAAAAGTTATCTTTTCATCTGGACTCTACGTGAATATTTCAATTGAATTCCATATTGTATTCTCTGGGAAAGAAACATTTTGTAGATTTTTCTCTTTCCTCTTCTCAGTTATTTCCAGAATTTTGTTTTGAAACTCCTTATGCATCTGTTCCATTTCTCGTTGAAACTGCATTTGTCAATTAAAAGTTTCCTCTTGTAGTTGCATCTGGAATGTCTTCTGTTGCTCTAATATTGTCATCTGTTGTTCCGTCTGGAACTTAAAAAATTCCTGGAATATATTTTTGCATTCCTCCATCTTCGCAAAAAGATTACACAATGCTTAAATATTGTAGAAGGGGGGGGGTCCTACGAATTTGCAATTCATGACCTATTTGAGCAAACTGTCTTATCGAGAAAAAAAAAATTTTCTCAGTTGAGAATACGACTGATTTTTTCGTCACTAAGTTGACATCTTCTTTCAAAAAACTTTGCCAAGTTTTCTTCTTTTTTTTTTTAAATGTGAATCCGAGATGTCACCGAAATTGTGACGAGCAAGTTTTTTCTTTTTACTCTGTATGAGTACGAATTTCGTCACCAAATAATGTTGTCGAATTTTTTTTTTTTCCTTCCACTGTATGAATTCGAATCCCTTCACCAAATAATCTTTTTTTTTTTTTTTCCTCTTTCACTGTATGAATCTGAATCCTTGTGGCCAAATTATGTTGTGGTGAGCGAACTTTTTTTTCTTTTTTTTTTTTTTTTCACCGTATGAATCCAAATCCCTTTGCCAAATTATACTGTGGCAAACGAAAATTTTTCTTCCTCTGTATGAGTTCGAATACTCATGGCCAAATTTGTTATGGCGGGTGAATTATTTTTTTTTTTCCCATATGAGTACGAATCCCTCGTCGCCAAGTTTGTTATGGAGTGATTTCACAGTGGAGGCTTGTATTTGTACTAAGTCGGTCCTAAAAAAGGTTCGATATACAAAACGTTAGGAACTTGATATAATAGGTATAATGCAGAGAAATCTAGTTGTGGTCACTGATAGTTTAGTATTCGACTAACTGTCATCAGACATCAACTGACTGACCGACCCAGTGAGCGACTCCTCGTTACTATTACTACTCCTACTTATTATAGGTGGGAGAGTCTATTAACTATAGAATAGGTGTCTTCCACTATAACAATTATATTATTTAATGAATAAACTCAATGGTTCCTGTACAATCACCAAACTTAAGCAGTGTCGAGTCAAGTCAGTACATAGATGAAATGATCACTTTGGAATACCAAATGCTGTAAGCTTGGATGTACAGGTGGCATAAAAGATAATGGCTCAGAATTGTTAATTGGAGAGTTCCAATTCCTGTTGGTTTAGTTATATTCACTTACATGCAAATATCTTGGGAAAGGTACGAATCCCTCATTTCTCCTCCCTAGCTATGGGTTAATTAGTAAAACTTGTATCACTAAACCATTAGGTAAAAAAAAAAATTCTAGCAATCTCTAAAATCTAGCTTTAAATAACCTGCAAAGTGTTGATAAACCATAGAAAACAAATCAATTAATCATTCAAGCTCATTCTGAGTTCCACAACTATCTAAATACTTGTGGAAATTCTCCTATTGCATTGTTAAATATTTCAACTTAACAACTTTAACCAAATATCTCAATAACAATCATAAGTATGAATGCAGGTCATTATTTAAAGAAGTAAGGGGGTACAAATGAAAAAAATGAAGCAGACATTAAACACATGAGAGCATTATCTCTTTCTCTATTTTCTTGCTTTCTTTTTCTCACTGAAACCAAACAATAATTCTGATATATCTCTTCACAATCAAAATGGAATAGTCCATTATTTATGAGGTATTGGCAGAGTGCATTCTAACTAAGGAGCAAGCAGAATTATAATATAATAATAATGATCCAATATAATGACTAATTTCATTTACGTTTCATTCAATAAACAAACTGTAAAGCAAAACTTAAAAACTCAATGTAGATTAATAAATTTTCTTTATTTAATCATCTCTTAGAGATATAATAGTTTAGATAGAATAAGGCATTTGACCATTTAGTATGCAAGGTATTTTAAATCTTACCTCTGTGAACTTAGACTTGTATCGAATGGCTCGACGTTCATATTTTTTCACCAGTGTGTATAGATCCTCTTTACTGAGGATATCTATACTAAAACTGCTCTCTTCAACTTCACTCTCAATGTCGGACGGCATGTGGTAATGGACTGGAGGCATTGGGGAATTAAATGACATATCACTGCCCATTGAAGTATTAATAGATGGTTGTGGTGATGGGGGTGCATCCATGGAAGTTAAATTACCTCCATCTGGGGACTGGGTTTGTGATGGTTGTGGTTGTTGCTGCTGTTGATCAAGTAAAGACAAATCTCCACCATCACAACTCTCAGATTCTTCCTGGAAAAAAAAAATGTGAATCAAATGCTAGAGATTTTAATAGATAATAAAGAAAACTAGGAGAATCAAATGCTAGTGATTTTAGCAGATTAAAGTCTTATACTCCATTGCAAATTATATCTCTTTCTGATTCACTCTAAATGTCAGCTGGATATAAGTGCTAAGAAAGCAAAATTCAAAATATAAAAATGTCATCTTCTGCACAGTGGGGTCTAATCATCACTTCTGGCCAACAAAACAAATCCCTGCAAAAATGTAAAATACAATATAAAAAAATCAATCAGCAATATTGCCACCAAAGAAAAATGATGAGTCTGGGAGCCACTATATTTGCTTAAAAAAAAAAAAGCCCCTCAGAAACAACTGACACAGAACCCAGCCAGCAGTCCAGCTGTCGACACTGGCAGGTTCTTGACATCAACATCATGATTTTGGTCAATCGACCCAACACACATTTCCACTCAAGCTTCACTATTACAGTCCAGGCATCTCTCATCATCACCACCATGACCTCAGTAGATACACTATATGGGGCAACCAGATTCCTGCTTTCATCGAACTCTTCACACACAGAATGTGGCTGACAGGCCAGTGGTTGACACCAGTGGGCTTTTGATGTCACTACCACAATTTCAGTCAACCGACCCACCACACAAATCTGCTCAAGGCCCACCTTCCTCCAAACACCCATACCATGCTTACAAAGATATTCCACTTGCACCTTCTGTATTGGCAAAATCAGATACATGGCTTCACTAATGGAAGCCAGGCCTTTCTTGTAGTCACCACCATAACCTCGCTCATCTGACCTGCTAAACACACTAATGCCAGGCCTTACCAAGACTCTCCTTCCTTCAAATCACCTTCTTTATACACTCACTGTAATGGTAACAAGATTTGCAGCTTCACTATCACACTCCAGGATTCTCTTGCAGTCATTACTCAGTTAACCAACCCAACAAGTCCATCAATTCAAAGCCTTACCAACAACAGGATCAACCCTGTGAATGACACTCCACTTGTGCTACCAACTGTGTACACCTTAAAAACTCATACTGGTGAATGCACACCAGATAAGTCCTTTTCACACAGCTATGGATGCTAGCATTATTATGCATATATGTTGAAAATTGGTCAATACATGCTTGTTGAAAATTTAATCCTTGTTTGTTCTTTCCTTTGCAACCATATGCTGAATATAATAAAGAAACCTATGCTAGAGATATTAACAAAGAAAAGGACAAATGACAATACTGTGCAAAATTAAGCAAACCTTTTAAAGATATAAACACCCAAATAATATGATTGAATCATCCCACATTATTTCTTATTATTATAAACATTATTTTTATTGGATACATGTGTTTGAGCTGCTATACAAGTTTTTACTTTACTTAAAATTAATAAGAACTGGCCTAGAACAAAAAGTCTGACTAAAAAAAAATTGTTCCTCCTGACAGGAATTGAACATGTATCTCTTTTTCTATTAGAGAAACCACTCCTTTAGCTGATGTCTGCTGCTACCAATTTGGCCACAGGAGACCATTTGGAGAGAGCAAGATTTGACTTACCTATTTAAGGAATGCATATCTTTTGTTGAGACTTCTGAAGCTCTATATCTGCCAGCTTCATTTTTATACCCAAAACTTAGACATTAATTTTTTTTTTAAATGGATTTTTTAATCTGACATTCTTTCTTGTTACTGTAAACATTATTTTGAGTGGATGCATGTGTTTGAGAATATTTTATAAATTATCTGTTCTTTCTAATTCTCTATTTTATTCTACTTAATACTGGATCTCGTATAATTTTCTCAGTCATTCTTGCCAGTAATAAAACATCAGTCTACCTAGTGTAGAAATGTATCTTCAAATTTTTCATCTGTGTTCTCATTCAACCGTCTTTTCTTTTCTTTAATCAATTCACCCCAAGTAAGGTGATAATGCCACCAAGATGCAAGGGACTAATGGTAGTGAAAGAGAACGAGAAAGCTTAGAGGGTACCAAAACCCAATCCTAAACATGGAACAAGGGATAAACCTCTACTCCTGTTCCAAAGAAGTGGAATGTGAACTGGACAATAAGCAAACCTATCTACTCCTATAAAATCACAATCTTTATAGTGCATTCACACATGATATTGAATTACCCATGACATATCCTATTTTAAAATCAAAGGCAATCAGCCTTATTGCTGACCTTAAAATCCTCAACATTGTGACTTTAGGTAATTCTTTCCTTGGATTGAATATACATTCTAACAGTCTATGAATACATCTTAACAGAATTTTTTTCCTAATTAACAATTGACAGGCTCTCATAGAATTACCAGAGATTTCTTTTCAATGTTTGAATAATTCAATTCAGCATTTATCAACCTTGATAGATACATTATTGGATGTCCTTCTTGTGAGAGTATTCCTGATATTGAATATTCACTAGTATCTGGAAACAATGTTGTATCTTTAGTCAGATCAAATATTTTAACTATTGGTTTTTTACCAAGAGTTGATTTTAGTTGGTCAAATGCCTCTTGTTCAGTCTCCTCCCACATTAATTCCACATTCTTAGCTTGGCAAATGGCTCAGTCAATTCTGTATACCTTGGTAAGTATTGCCTATAAAAATTTACTAATTCCAAAAAAGATTCCAGTTCTTTGTTTTCTGGCACCGGTACTTTCAGTATTTTTTAATAAGTATTTTTTTAATGATTAATTGACCTGGTGACACTCCATTCTTCAAATTGAATATCCCAGAAATATTTAACTGCTGTTGTGTACACATTTCTTTTTTCATTCATACATTTCTTAATCTGCTCAACATGATTTCAGTTTTTTTTAGTCCTATTTCATTTCTGGCACCAATGCAAATGTCTTCTTAATATTGCACAATATTTTCTATATTGTCTCCAATTACTTGTTTTAGGGTTCTTTGAAAAAATAACATTACCCATTTTATTCCATACAGCTTTCTTGTTCACCACAATAAACCTATCGGCAAGTTGATTGTCATCACTTCTTTGAAGTGGTCATCTATGTGTATCTGGTGAAAAGCTGTTTTCAAGTCTATCTTCATAAAGATTTTCATTCTGGCTAACAAATGTAATGCTAATTCCACATTCAGAATTCAGTACAAATCTGAGCAAAGTTTATGGTTTACTCCCGCTTTATAATCACCATATATTCAAAGGTGAAGATCTGCCTATCTCAAAACTACAATAAGTGGCTTCCCTCAGTCTTTTCTACAAATATGTTCATGGCAACTGCTCTGACAAGCTTTAACCTCAATAGTGCCCCAACTTTGAGTGAGCTACTAGATTGGCATCTAGGACCCACTCGCTTACTGTTGAAATAGCTAAATACAACCGTCACTTCTACTCCAACAGTTTCTTTTCTTGCACTTCCCATCTGTAGGACTCCCTTCCATTTACTTGCTTCCCTGATAACCACAATCTTCAAAAATTTAAATGCAAGGTCATTTGTCATCTTTTGTCTTCTTGAATCCTATTCATCTTTTATCCTTTCCTCAATCCTCCCTATATTCAATCTTTTCTCTCACTTTCACTCCCTGTAACCCTTTGCATATGAGTGGCATTCCTGCTTTGCTTGGGGTAAAATGATAAAAAAAAAAAAAAAAGTAATACCCATTTACTGCCACCAGGTGGAATATGTTCAAGAAGGCCTTGCTCCACTAATTTTCTGAGTTTCGCTATTGCTAATGAGACCAAGTGTACTGGCAACTTCCTTGCTTGGTAGTAGTAAGAGGCAATATTTTCATGTAACTTGAGACTTGCCTTATAATTTTTTTGGGATGCTAGTTTCTTCAGTATTCACTGCATTAATTTATTTTGAGTACATTATTTCCAACAAGTCTATGATGTTTATTACAGTCTGCAACAATTATGGTTATTATTTATTTACTAATCCAAGAGATCCTTCAAAGTAGTGTTTTTATAACTGAATAATAAATTGTTGAAGCAGTAGATAAGACTTTCATAATTTGGAATTTCCTAGTCATTCACAAAAATTTCTGTGAATGAGCATTACTTCACTGCCTATAACTATTTGCACATCTAAATTGGTGGTGTTTATCTTAACTTACATTAAAAAGTTCTTTTTCTTTCAACAAATATTTCTCTCAGATTTTTATCTTCACATTACTTCTCAGTGACACGCTCAGCATCTTTCTTTTTGACTTTGCATATAGCTTGGAAGTAATTCTTTTTCCCCACATTTTCTAAACTGCTTTCTACATGTTGGGCACTTGTCTTTCTCTTTTGTATATAAATTTTGTCAGGAGTTGCATATTTTTAGCTGTGATGAACATTTTTTTCTCCTCAATTTTTGCTCGGACAAAAAAAGGACCAATAAACGGGTTTAGCTGTTATTTTCTAATCCTTGTTATATTTTAGCATTACCATTTTATGGTTATATATATATATATATATATATATATATATTTTTGTTAGTCCTCTTTTTTTTGTTATAAATTGTTTTTTTTTTATAAGTCTGCTAATAGAAATGTCTAGTACAGCAGATTATATCTGGAGAGAACTCTTTGAGAGCAAGTGTAAACAATAAATAGGGAATATCACAGAGTGAGGACATTGAGGGAAGCAGGATACACATCTGGTTAACAGGATAATATAAATCAGACCAATATAAATTTCAATATACTATATATATATATATATATATATATATAGGATATTGAATATATATATATATATATATATATATATATATATATTTGCTTAGAAAAGACTGGAAAGTGGAGAACACCCCTATATATAAATATGAAATCATCTATGAGTTATTGAGAGGTTATTGTTCATGTAACTCATATTGCTAGGAATGAGCAGAGGCAATTTATCTGTTAGCTAGCACATAAAAAGATAGAGTAGAACTGCTGAAACACTAAGATAACAACAAAAGCAACACAAAGAATGAGTTCAATAGTCCAAACAACACTGAGTGATAATGACTTCTCAAAATTATAAACAGTATCTTTACAGAGCAGTTTGATTTGTGGTTAAGCTGGCTAATTTAGCAACATATCAATCCTTAATATTGGAATCTTGATGCAAAAGGTGAACTGTTTATACTCAAATCTGCAAGCATCCACCCAGAAGGTATCTCTTTTGGTGGGAAGGAGGCTTAACCTTCTGCAAAGAATGCATTCAGCATATTCTAAGCTCCACCAACAGTCTCAATTGAATTTATTTCATTGTCCATGAATTTATAACCTGGCTATGTTGATCTGCCCCATGGACAACAACAAACTTTATTGAATGCTCCCCTTTGATGGCTGATACTATATGCAGAAAGACTGATATTAAGTCAAATAGGCAGAATCAAGATGTTAACATTCCAAACTACAACAAAACAAAAAGGTTAGGAAGGAATCAATAATGGAAAGAGTGATAACACCTACTGGACTTGAGAAACCTATTTTACTGAAAAATAGTTTTATGAAAAAGATTTTATAAAATTCAACCAACAGTTGTACTGACTGCTCAGTCAGTAAATGCCAATTATTTCCTTATAAGGAATTGGCTAATATTACCATTACTATCCTTGTCATTTTTATCGGTGAGTTACTATTTTAATTTGTGGTTCCTCTCACTACAAAACCAGTAAAACAAAGCTGAGATTATTACTAGATTTGGAATTATTTTTTGGTGCCAGAAAATAACAATACTATAATAGATATATATTTAAAAATATAAAGGATAATCTAATTCAGTACATATACAAAAATAGAAAGGGGTGTTAGACAAAGATGTATCTTCTCAGAGGACTTATTTAACCTATACAGTAATGCAATCCTGAGAGATTTAGAAGTCCTACCAGGATTTATTATTGGTGGCCACAATCTTAACTACATATGATATACAGATGACACTGTTGATAGCAAACACAGAAAAGAAACTACAAGAACTCCTACAGAAGGTATTGAAGGAAAGTGAGAAGAAAGGATTAAGCATCATTAGCAAGATGGTGGAATGCATGGTTGTTAACAAAAGGAACAGCCCAACATGCAAATTACAAATTGGAGATACCAAAATCAAGCAAGTACAAAAGTTTAAATATCTAGGAAGGGCTTTAACAGAAGACAGAAAGTGCAACACTGAAATCTGAAGGCACATTGGGATAGCCGAAGATGCATTCCAAACACTAAGCAAAGTTTAAAAAAAAAAAAAAAAAAAAAAGGGAAAATTTTGTTAGAAACAAAGAAAAGAGTACTGGAATATTATGTAATATCAGTTCTCCTATATGGCAGTAAATGCTGAACAGTCTCCTCACAGATGAAGAGACTTGAAGCAACAGAAGTGTGGTTCTACAGAAGGATGATGAGAATATCATGCACTGAACATGTAAGCAATGACAAAGTTTTAGAGAAAATGGAAAAAGACACTTATACTTTTTTTTTACAATGATGTTCTATCTGTACAAGGCCCAAGAGCCACTTGTAGTAGAGGGTTACAGAGTAAAAGGCACAGTTTATCAGAATAAATGGTTAAGCCTAGTTTTGAACAAGTTAAGATTGTAGTGATTGGAAAAGCATCCTCTTGGAAGTTGGTTCCACAAAGCAGTGGTTCATGAGAAGAAGCTTCTTGAGTGGAACTTACATGTTACCAATGAAATACAGAGAGAATGAGAGTGGTTCACTACAATATGCATGGTTTGGCCAGTCTTAGTTGTGAAGGTTAGAACTTGTGGAATGAATGAATGTAATTCAGGTGAACACTTTCAACAGAAATAACTATAAAGCAACAATAGGCTTGCAAGGTTTTGTCTGTAGGAAAGAGATTGTCAGGTGGAAAATAATTTGTCACCCACAAGGACATAGAGATGCTTTTGGACAATTGAAGCTGGAAAAAGAAGACTGAGCAGCTCCTGCCTACATATGGCAGCAGTACTTCATTTTTGGTCTGATCTGGCTCTTGTAAAAAGTAGAGGATAGCAGGAAGAATCAGGTACTTACTGGAGTGGTACAGAGAACTGACCATTCCTCCAGCATCTTTAATAATGGATCATATGTAAGAGTTCTACTTGATGCTTGGGTTGTGCTTAAGTCCCAATAAGTGCTCAAGGCATATGACACTGTTGATAGCAAAGCTTTAAAAAAAAAAAAAGAAAAAAAGAAGAACTGAGAAAACACCTGTTCATTGCGATTAGTAAAAATTCAGGGTTTGCTCAATAAAGATTGAACATCACTAGTTTGATTTTCAAGGCATTGAATGTAACTAGTCAGTTTTTCCCCCACTGAGCTGCTAGAGCTTGGTCAGAGGAGAGATCAGCTGCCAGACTCTGGTCATCTAGAGTTTTGGAGGTGCACACCTATAAGCTGTTGTATCTTCATTATAGATATTCACAATTATCAGAGTATATACTCTTAGGCAGATCATTTATGTAAAGTAGAAAGAGGTTTGAACTGAGAGGCAAGTTTTGGGGAGACAACTGGCTTAATTGCTTGGGCCTTGAAAGACTGGCTGTTAACAACTACCTTCAGGGATCTACCTGTCAGGAAGGACTTGATAACTGAGAATATTCTTCCAGTGATTCCACGGCTATATCTGATGTGATCATCCTTGAGATGAATTTATTATCTCATGCCTCACTGATTCTGTGAGTAAAGACAGTTAAGATATCCTTTTTGAACCAAGTCAATAGAAATTCATACTATGCAATAGAATGAGCCAATCAAAATCCATAAAGAGGCATTTGAAATTTCTAAGGCACAATGAGGAAAGAGGGCCTGAAAATTTGACACTGACAGGGCATATTGAAGGCAAGGACATGGGAAAACAGTGCATAACATACCTAACAATCTTGTGTAAATGAATGGCATAACAGGGTTTAGGAAAGATAGCAAAAAGACAAAATTTACTCAGAGTTACAAAAAGACAAGAAATCGTAGAGAGTCATGATCATCATCCTAAAGGAACATGACACATAGAAGCTGAAAAATGGATAATCTAATTATTAAGCCTTTATTGAAAATCTTGCATTATCTGTTGCAGCTGTTTTACCTAATTTTGCAAACAAACAAAAATCCAACTGGTTGAGCAATTCTATTTTTCATGCCAATAATCATTATATTATCTATTACCCAAAGAAAAAAAAAATACAACCCACACCAAAAGAAGAGGATAAGATATATTTATACAATATTTACTGTGATAACAAAAGCTTGATCATATGTTTTTCACATGTAAAAAAAAAAAAAAAATCAAGAACAGATTGAAAAAAATATGAAATGCATACTTACTTTAGGTGACTCAAGATGAGATCCATCATTTAATGGTATGTCAATTAGCTGACCCACACTTGGAGAAGGAGGAGCCTGGCTGGTACCACCATCACTTGAATTATTGTTACTGTTAGAATTTGTATTGTCCGTAGCAGTAACATCATCTGTTGTATTTGCTGTTGAATTCTAAAATAGATTAAAAATTAACAGTTCAGCAAACTTGTCTCCAATAAATTGTTAATTGTGCAATGGTTAGCATGTTGCTTTATCATTTCATTAGTAGTTCACTAAATTTGTATGCAAAGTTTTGACTTAAATGACAAATGAAATGTTATATTCTTAGTAAAAGAATTTAAATAACTAAAGTTGAAAATAAACTTATCTGGTAATATCTAATTACTTCAAAAAATTTACAGTTATACATACAGATGGGGTATAAAAGATAATTTCAGAAAAGACTATGCTACTCTGTTCTATAATATAAAATTTCATAAAATATAATTTCATTTTACAGTTGAAAAGGCTAGATATAACCATAAGTTCTATGATAACAGTTTCTTCTACCACACTTCTTGCTTGTGGAACTCTTCCAGCTTCTTGTCTCCCTGTCAATTTTGATTGTCAAAAATTTAAATGCAATGTCATTCATTATCTTCTGTCCTCTTAACTTTTATCTTTTGTTGTCTTCTCTCCATAATAGTATATTTTTCTCATATTCTCTAACACTCAGTAACCCCTTGTGTCTTAATGGCTTTAAAATGCCTTGCTTGGGATGAAATGATAAAAAAAGAAAAGAAAAAGCAATATGGCTTTGTATTCACTCTATACCAATAAACAAACATATCTTATACTAACAATATAACAGAATATCTCAGTATGTAGAGGAGATCAGGCTGCTAATACATAAATTTTCATTTCTTTTGTGTTAGTTTTCTTTGGATGTTTTTAATTTTAATGACTGAAAAGCAAAATTCTTTGACATACAACAATATAGTTGATAAAAATACTAAATTACTTATACATGAAATATAATAAATGTACTGCAAAATTACTAAAATATTGACATTGTTTTATGATGGTATGAGTAAACTAGTTCCTTATTAATTTTTGGTTTTAAATTCTATAATAAAAAACGCACATGGTTATTAAAATCCTATTTCATAAAAGTACCAGAAATTTCTATTTAGTCACAAAGTATTCTCATTCAATTCAAGTTGACCCTATAAATTTACCCTGTAGAGTATAGAGATATAGCTTCACCACACTAGATGTTGCTGCTGATTCAAATGCACTTCCTGTCACATCTGATCTGGTGTTTCTGATATGTATTTAAAGATACTTGATAAAATACAAAGAAGAATATGCAATGTTATTTGTTATGACCTGGTATGTGGGCTTCAGTTACTTTCCCACCACCATAATATAGCTTCCCTGTACCTTCTCATGGTATAAGTTTTCCTCTTTGGTACGTAGACTTTATGAATTTATGTGCAGTACTAAATTGGTAGAAAAGTCTCATCATCTTACAGTTGAAATGGCTAAATATAACTACAAGTTCTATGCTAACAGTTTCTTCTCTTGCTGTGGAACTCTTTTCTGGCTTTTTGGCTTTCCAGTCAACTTTGATGTTCAAAAATCACAGTAACCCCTTGCATCTTAGTGATTTTATTGCCCTATTTGGAGTAAAATGACAACAAAAAAGTCCTTAAATAGAAACTGAAGGATTTCATAACCTACAGTTTCAGAAATTCCCATTTATTCATTAAATTAACATAGCTATAGTTGCTATCCCATAAGAAATAATATTCTTTTTAAAATCAACTTTTCATTCAAAATTAAACTGGTACATGAAATGCAAAATAAGCTACTAACTCATCATAGAAATCTTATTCCAAAATACAAAATGCTACAATCTTGATAAAATAGTTACAAGTAGAGTAATTGCAGTTTTTTTTTCCTTTACACCATTAAAAAATTCTTACCACATTAAAGATTCAATTAAATGTGAAGAAACAGAGTCTCTTTAATCCAAATATATCTAATTGTTTAGAGGCCCTAGCAAAAACAACAAAATATAAAAATTTAACATTAAATACTGACAATCCCAAACAAACATTAAATATGGATATAGACATTGATACAGGCTAAAGTAAAAGGTGATATAATTTTGATACATATTTGCAGGTATATCAAAAATACATAGGACCATAACCTATCCCAAGTAAAAATTCTGAACTTTAAGTTCATGATTTTCTCATATCTTTCTCTAAAAATTAAGAATAGGTATTGTTTAACCAAATGTACATAAACAGATTTTTTTTTATAAATTATTAAGCTACTAGCTAAAAACCCTTTTATATTATCAATTTCCTTTTTCGGTGACAATTAATGGTAAAAATAATAATCTTTCAAATAATAAAAAGGGAGGGAAGTAAGTGTTGAAGATGTTGTCGTTGGCTGTCCTGCAACTTGAGAATTATGTTAAGATTTCTCATAAACTGATTCCGACATCTGGGGATTTGAAGGCATGAAATATTATGCCAGTGACTGTAGCAAAGAAGTAGCATAAGGAGAAGTAGCATGACAAGTTAAAAGAAAAGAAGCTTCATGGTCAGTTTTTTTAGCAGAGAGAAACAATTGCTTGACCTGAGTGGTGCTTTGGGTAAAAGATAGTTTTCTAAACTGAGGAACACATATTCACAGCACAAGAGCAAGCCATCAAAATTAATGCAATCAATGTCAGGAGAGAGATCACAAAAAGAAAGCAAATGCAGGATGTGTGAGCAAGCTGATGAGACAGTTAACCATATACACTTTGAATGTTCCAAGTCGGAATAGAAGGAGCACAAAAAATACTCATTAAATGTCCCAAGTTAGCACAGGAACATAAATAAAACTATTTGAATGTCCCAAGTTGGCACAGGAACATAAATAAAACTATTTGAATGTCCCAAGTTGGCACAGGAGCATAAATAAAACTATTTGAATGTCCCAAGTTGGCACAGGAACATAAATAAAACTATTTGAATGTCCCAAGTTGGCACAGGAACATAAATAAAACTATTTGAATGTCCCAAGTTGGCACAGGAGCATAAATAAAACTATTTGAATGTCCCAAGTTGGAACAGAAGAAGTCCAAGCAATGACAGGATTGGATAATCCATTGGGAAGTATAGTGTAAGTTTGGCTTCAGTGTAAAAAAGAATTAATTTGAACAGCTAGTAATAAAAAAAGGACAGTCACAAGATACTATGGGATTTCTCAGTGTAGACAAATCATGCCACTGAAGCATGAAGAGACAGCCTTATTGTTGTAGATAAGAAGAGTAGGAAGTGTCAAATTATTGACTTTGCTGTTCTATGTGATACAAAAGTGAACTCTAAAGAAACTGAAAAGATTGAAAAATGCCATGATCTTGTGAGGGAGCTGAAGAGGCTATAGATCATAGAACCAATTTCTGTAGTAATAGGAGTGCTTGGAATGCCATCTAGAAAACTGAAAATGTACTAAGGAGAATTCAAATTGAAACCAAGATTGTAGACTTCCAGAAAACTGCCATCATTTACTCTGTAAGAATTTTCCGAAAAGTTCTTGAATTGTGAGGAATCTTGTTGACACCACACCTAAAAAAAAATTTTCATTTCACTACATCAATGTGTGACACCAACTTAATAAATTGTATTGTTATTAATGGAACAACTGTCAATTGTGTAACAGATGTATATGAAAAGATAAAATAAAGCAACCAAATCTCTTGTATGTTTTATAATTATTTCAATTTTCAACTATTTTCATTCAGAGAAAAGTTCATTTACAAGATCATAAAAATGCAAATTAGTTTAGTAAGAACAAGTTTTATTTGTATGCATAATTTTGGTAAGGATTAGTAATATACATTTACATGACTATTCAGAAAGGGTACGATTCAAATATTCAATATTCAGGAAGAATGTTCAGTATCTGTGACTGAGCCTTTGTAGACTATAAAAAGTGTGGTCATAGGACTCATCACTACATGGTGTCAGTCATTTTCATGTCTCAAGTTACTATGTCCCTCTCTCTTGTATATATAAAGTTTTATTAAAAATGACAAACAAGGTACTGCGATTAAACTTTTCATTAAATTTTTCTTGCATTTGTACAAGTCTTTTCTAGACATAGAGTGTGTAAAAATTGTCCAAATATTCTATATATCCAAGCACTTTCAGATATTCTATTAACCACTATCAAGGATATTTTTTAAATTTTACATTTTTATATACGGATAAAAATATACAACTTTTTTGTTGTGGAATGTAACATCTTGCAATAACGCAATCAAAAACCCCCAATGCAACTATTAAAATAAAACCACATGTCCGCTGCAAGGAAACTGCCTGCAAATGAACATAGTATATAAAGCCAACGTAAATGCAAATAACATTACTATGCACTACATTGGTGCCACAGAAGGACCATTGAAGCAAAGAAAATACAACCACAACCACTCATTCTTCAATAGAAAATACTCCAACAGCACCACATTATCCACATACATATGGCAACTAAAAGACAGAAACATTGTACCAAAAATAAGGTGTGAAATCATGAAAACCACACCTGTCTACAACAGCATAACAAAAAGATGCCAACACGAAAAAGTAGCAATAATCTCCCATACTCAACAAAATAAAATTACTGAACCTAAAACTGAAAATAATTTCAAAATGCAGACATGAAAATAAATAGCTCATATCACAGTTCATACTAAATGGATAATACATTAAAAAAAACAAAAAAAAAACACCATACCAATTAACACAGTGATATAGTCATCAACACTGCTACCTATACTACCATCACCCCTATGGACATGAGGGGACACTTCAATATCATTTTACAATGACTATTACTAATTTAGTTACCAATATTGCCATCACCACCCTATGCGCCTTCCAAAAATAACTACTATTATTTTCACTTCATATCCTCCCCCAACAACATTAGTACTATTTTTTACCATTGTCTTTGTTGTTGTTAGTCATTATCTATTTATTACTACTATTATTACCATTGTTATTATTTAGTTATTACCACTTCAATTATTTTTATCCCTTCCATAACCATCATCACTATTATCACTCTTTTATTACCACTTCCATCATTATTTTTTATTTACTATTGTTATTATCTTTTATTTTTATCAT